GGCATTGTATAACCACTCAGCTTAATTGCATAACCTCATCTTGCCTGTTGTGCAATATTTGCTTGTCTGAACGTTCATGTTTCTCTATTTCAAGGGAGCCCACACTGACAGCAAGAATGCCAAAAAGAAGAATAACAAGAAAACCAACAAAAACAAGAGCAGCGTCAGCCGAGCCAATAAGAAAAAGCCTGGGATGCCGAATGTAGCCAATGATCTGTCCCAGAAGCTCTACGCCACAATGGAAAAGCATAAGGAGGTGGGAAATCCTACTAAATGTGTTTTGAAATGTGACATAAAAAAAAGCAAGCAAAGCAAAACACTGCAGCAATTGAGTTTTTAAATTTTTTTGGTATTTTCAGGTTGTCATGAGTGATGTACAATTGTGCCAAATAGATTCTTTTTCTTATTGCACATGGCTTACAGCATGTCTTATTGGCACATTCTAGGCTTATGAGTACACAAGCGCACAACAGGACCAGTTCTCTTTAGAGAGAAGTTGAGATGCTTAAATCCCATGTAAGGAACTGTCTCCTACATGGGATGGATTTGGAGCTGTAATCTTTTCCTGTCCTTACAACTAACTAACTGTCTCCCCTCCTTTCTACTGCCAGGTATTTTTTGTTATCCACCTCCATGCCGGGCCAGTCATTAACACTCTGCCACCCATAATGGACCCCGACCCTCTGTTGACCTGTGACCTAATGGATGGCCGTGATGCCTTTCTGACTTTGGCCAGGGACAAGCACTGGGAGTTCAGTTCTCTGAGAAGGTGCAAATGGAGCACGATGTGCATGCTGGTGGAGCTACATAACCAGGGCCAGGACCGCTTTGTGTACACTTGCAATGAGTGCAAACACCATGTGGAGACTCGCTGGCACTGCACCGTCTGTGAGGTAGGAAATAGTGGCACTGTACTAAAACGTTTTGCAATCTACTCTTTCAGTTTTGAATTCATTTTAAATCTTGACATAATCTTAATTTGGTCTTCTTTACTTGTGATCAGGACTACGACCTATGCATTAACTGCTACAACACTAAGGGCCATGAGCACCAGATGGTGAAGTGGGGCCTGGGTATAGACGACGACAGCAACAGTCAGGGTGGAGAGGCCTCGAAGAGCCCCCAGGAGAGCCGACGTCTCAGCATCCAGCGCTGCATCCAGTCCCTGGTCCACGCCTGTCAATGCCGCAATGCCAACTGCTCTCTGCCTTCATGCCAGAAGATGAAGAGGGTGGTTCAACACACCAAGGGCTGCAAGCGCAAGACCAATGGTGGCTGCCCTGTCTGCAAGCAGCTTATCGCTTTATGTTGTTATCACGCCAAGCACTGTCAGGAGAACAAGTGTCCTGTTCCGTTCTGTCTCAACATCAAGCACAAACTCCGTCAGCAGCAGCTGCAGCACAGGCTCCAGCAGGCTCAAATGATGCGGCGCAGAATGGCCACCATGGCTGGAAGGGGTATGCCCCTGCCATCCCCACCTACCTCAGCAGCCCCCGACACCCCTAACTCTGTACAGCAGCCTAATACTCCCCAGACCCCCCAGCCCATGCCCAACCAGCCCCAACAACAGCAGCCACCAAATCCTGCCAATATTGCACCAGGCTTCCCCAACAATGGCCGCAACAGCCAGCCCCCAACCCCGGTCCCACAGGGCAAACCAGGGCCTCAGTCATCCCCTCTCCATCAGCAGCAGTCACCTCTGCCTAACATGCCACACCAACAGCAGCCTCAGCCACCGCAGCAGCAGCAGCAGCAGCAGCAGCAACAACAACAGCAGCAGCAACAGCAGCAGCAGCAGCAGCAGCAGCAGCAGCAGCAGCAACAACAACAACAACCACTGCTGGCAGCCCTGAAGGTGGCCAGACAGATAGAGATGGCAGCCAAGGCAAAGCAACAGCAGCAGCAGCAGAATTATGCCATGAATGGGATGCCCATGAACCACCCACGAATGATGGGCCCCATGCAGGGCCAGATGCAGATGATGCAGGGGCCACGAGGTCCCCAGGTGATGCAGGCTATGCAGCAGGGCCAGTGGGGTCCTGGAATGCAGAATCCCATGCAGAATCCCCAGGCACATCAGCCACAGGTCCCTCCTCAACAAGGCCCCATGGCCCCTCAGCAGGCTCAGGGAACCCCCATGCCCCAGCAGGGCCAGCTCATGCAGAGGCCCATGCTGCCTCAGCAACAGGGTCTCCAAATGCAGGGGGTCATGCCTCCCCAGGGGCCCTCACAGCAGGGCATGACACCACAGCAGCAAAACATGCCCCGTGGGATGCCTGGTAACATTGCTCCGAGTGCCCTGCAGGACTTACTGCGCACCCTCAAATCTCCCAGCTCCCCCCAGCAACAACAGCAGGTCCTCAACATTCTCAAGTCCAACCCCCACCTCATGGCTGCCTTCATTAAACAGAGGACAGCGAAGTACCAGGCCAACCAGCCACAGCAACAGCAGCAGGGCCAGCAGCAGAACCCTCAGGCCATGCTGGGGTCCCAGGCAGGAATACAGGCCATGGCAGCCATGGCAAACCAGGTGCAGAGACCAGGGATGGCGCCTCAGCAGCAGCCTCCTCAGCAGGCAGGGCCCCAGGGCATGGCACCCATGGGGCCTCAAGGCCAGATGATGAATGCTGCTCAAAATGGCAATCCCCAGCTGTACCGTAGACAGCAGCTGCTCAGGATGCAGCAGATGCAGCAGGCGCAGCAGCAGCAGCAGCAGCAGCAGCAACAACAACAGGGAGGCATGCCTCAGGGCCACGGTCAGTTCCCCCAGCAGCAGCCGGGGCCAGCGAGCTACTCCCAGCTTCGTATGCAGCAGCAAATGGCTATGCAAGGAGGTGGGGGGCCCATGGGCCAGCTCCCTCCCACATCCCAAATGGGCCAACCTGGAATGGGCATGGATGGGCCCCAGAACCTCCTCCAGCAGCGCATGCTTCAGCAGCAACAGCAACAGCAGATGTTGAAGCAGCAGATGGGCTCCCCAGCACAGGCTAACTCGATGAGTCCACAACCCCACATGCTCCAAGGCCAAGCCCAGGGAGGAGCTCACTTACCTGGCCAGACAATGGCAAATACCCTGGGAAACCAAGTACGTTCCCCAGCCCCAGTGCAGTCGCCCCGTCCTCCTTCACAGCAGCCCCCGCATTCCAGTCCCTCCCCACGGATACAGCCCCAGCCCTCACCCCAGCACGGCGCCCTCCACTCCAGCTCTCCTCACCCCAGCCTTGGAGGCCCCATGTCTGGCTCCATGGAGCAGGGACACATGGGAACACCAGAGCAGAGTGCCATGCTCCCACAACTTAACACACCAAACCGAGGGGGGTTAAGTAATGACATGGGTATGACAGGTGATACGACTGGAGACACGCTAGAGAAATTTGTTGAAGGATTGTAGCATTTCATGACAGAAGAAAGGCCTTGTTCTGTTTTCAGCTGAGAATTTTTTGTACTTGCTGGTGTAAAAAGCTAAAAGAAAAACAAACAAATGAGTCATATGAGGCCTACAGACTGTGAACTTTCCTTAAACCAAGGGACTGCTTTTTCTTCCAACACAGAGTGATTTAATAATTGCTGTTGAAAAGAAGACAACAAAGACACAAAGAATATATTTTTGGTTCAGACCAGCAATGCAAGAATTTGCCCTGGTCTTTGTGTTGTTTTAATTTGTTTTTCATTTGTTATGCTCTGGTATTGACTTTTTTAACAAAACTTCTCAAAACAAAAAATATTTCACTTTATTATTCTTTTTTTTTTTATTTTGTACCTTTGCAAATTAATATCGTATTTGTGTTGAGAAGACTGTAAAATTATTTGTCTGGGAATTTTTTGCCAGGTTTCACCTCTTGCTCAGTTTCTCTGTTCCTGGCTAATTTATTCTAATATGCCATTTTTCAAAAGGACTGCCTTTGGGAAAGCCTTAATTTCTTTCCTGTTTGCAGAGTCTATGGGAGATTAACGTATTTGTATAGATCTAGGAACTATTGCACACACCCAAACACAACATGCAGGTGTAAGACAAACCTGCAGTGAAGCTTGTTAATGTTCACAGGTGCCAGAATGTTCTTTTTACTGGCCTGGGCCCAGTATTTGTCTTGCAGATGTTTCAAAAATTGCTTTCTCTCCTTCAGTCTAAAGAAATTCTCATTAAGTACTGAACCTCTTTTGCCTGTGGTGGGAAATTAACTTGTTTGACTGCTGATTTGTATTCAGAGAGTTTTGCGCATCATTTTCTCTCTTGCATTAAACTTGAATTGATGATGAACTGTTCTCTAATGTAAATCATGCAGCTAGACAGTACTGTAAATATGCAGAAAAATAAGAATGAAATCACTGTACAAAATGGTTCAAATGGCTCATTTCGTACTTATATACCATATTGTTAAATAAACCTGTGTGCCACAGACTCTGCTTCTAATCTTTCTGTTTGGAGAAAACTTTGATGGGATCAGCATTAATGTAATTAATATTAATCAACTGCTTTTTATTTTCTCAAATTCAAAGAGATTCAGTTTACTATTATGCAAAACAAGGGAAAGCGCTAAATCCTCACGTTTGAGAAGCTAGAACCATCAAATTGTTAAGCATTTTGCTTGAAATCTGACATAAATGATCAATGATCAAAATAGTTGCATATTATTGCAAACGTGTTTTAGCTCTAATTAGCATCAACATGACAAAACTTAGTTACATCATTTGAAACATGTAAATTTGTTAATCTTACGATATGTTATGTGATCACTGTTTGACCTTGAAGGGCAAATTTAGAGCTAAAAAAATTAAATTATGAAGGGATTAAGACGGATAACCGACGGATAAATTTACATACAGATAAGACTACTACTGTTTTTGATATGTCATTAATATGAAATCGTGCACTTGAATGCATTTTAGAAAAAAAAAATCGTGTATCGATAAAATAATTTCCACTTCTCATCAGGCAGCGCGATGGAACGCCTGCTGACGTCATCAAGAGGGACGGGGTCCTGTCTGTGCGATCTCGTTCAGCGTGTGTCCCTCGGTCGGTTGACCTGTTCTCGTATCCTTGTCTGCCCCCTCGTCTGTCATCATGTCCCGTTGTCTTGCCCTGGCTCGGTTCGCACTCGGTTCCTCTCAGAGGACCAGCTCACGGCTAATGACATGTGCGCGAGGGCTGAGCAGCAGAACTGTTTCGCGCTCCTTGACTGCAGGTGAGCTGTGGGAGGGGGCTCTGGTAGCTTTAGCCAAGTTAGCCTAGCCTTGGCATAAGATGAGAGTCAGGTAAACTCTGCTGTGGCAAAATGTTTAATTTACCAATCCTAGTTTAATACTGTGAACTGGTTTGTCAGTCCGATACCCCACTTAGAAGCTACAGAACAGCTACAGGTGAATTTAAATCGATAAGTTGCTGCAAATGCTCAGCTATTACATCATTATATCAGATTGAAAACTCTGTGGACTGAACTGGTGTTTTTAATTTCATCGCCCAAATAGACGCATCTGTTGTTTAATAACGGAGGAGAGGTTCTTGTAAAGTTAGATAGGTTGTACAGTAACATTCCCTCAGGGTATCTGGAGGTCTTTTAATCTTACAAAACAGATTTTAATTTCCTTATAAAAAGGCCTTGTAGTATTAGGTATTATGAATTAAAAGAGATATTAAATGTATTAAAAAGTCATAAGATTAATTAAGAGATGTCTTGAATATCTTTTCTAGCCTGCTCTACTACATTACTTGCTGTAGGCAGCAATGTTAATCGTCATATGTTTTGTATGTGATATTAGTAAACACTGAAAACTGGAAAATCTCCACTGCTGTTCCTCTGGACATCTGAACTTATGTAAAATTTATATGTGGAGCGTAATTAATTTAATTTGTGTATCCATAAATCGCTTTCTCCTCATTAGCAAGGTCATCAATGATTAATTAATGATGTCATTATGAATGACCGATATCATTAGGAATTACTGTTGCACACCGCTGAGAGTTAATGACTTTTATATTGATGTTAATAAATTTGTGCACTTTATAGTTAACTCTAGGCCTTATCATCCCTACTGGTTTTCATTGATGCCTTGCAAAACTTAGCAAGTATGAACATGAAACAGGTATTAAATTGTTTTCTGTGTGGTATTAAAAATGTCTTAAAAGGGGCAGAAACCCTGCACTTGCATGTATGCCACCATCTACCCAAAGTCACCTGCAGAAAAATGCAAGCTTTTCTAATAGCCAAAGCTAATATGAGGTTTTAGCAGTGAGGGGTTTTGTGCTAATTAACCAAAAACTTTGGGAAATGTCTACGTCAGGGCTATTTTTGTTCTATTAAGATAGACTTGAAAAAATCTGGATCAATTATCCAAGTGAAAGGTTAAGGTAAAAGTCATTTGCTTTAACTTTTTGTGCATAAATGTAAGAATACTCTTTTTGTTTTTTTAAATCAAATTTCTTTTTACTCATACTCGAATTTTGATTTAAGAGACACCCAGAAGCCTCTTAATTTGGTTGAGAGTATCCTGATTTGGTGTTTTGATAGCTGCAGTACAGAGATGAGCAAACTCCTTCTTAGACATGTTTTGGAATGATTTGAACAGAAACTTGATTAATCTGTTTAATATTATCTTGGTTTACTGATTGATTATTTCTTTAAAAAAAAAAAAAAATGCCTGGAGATGGTAAAGAAAAAAATTTCACATACACAGTCTAAATGCAAACATATTCAGTTTACTGTCATAGAAGATGAAGCAAACTAGAAAAATACACATTTGAAATGACTCAAAATGATGAACTGATTATCAAAGTAGTTGCTGATTAACATTCTGTTGATCAACAAACAGATTAAGCAACTAATCATTGCAGCTCTAGAATGAACAAATGTTTCATATTCCAAATTCTGCTAGGATAGAGTAGTATTAGCTCTACAGCTGCTGATTTCTCGCAAGTCGTCATCTCTAAATGCACTTTGGACTGCAAGTTTCAGCACTGAAAATGACAAGGCCAAAGCTGATGCTGATCGCTTTCCATACATTGTTTTTGTCTACACTTGCCAGTGTGGTTCTGATGACCTGTTCTTCTCTTAACATACATGTAATTAATAAGTGATCACCCAAGATCTGCTCCTAAAGGTTTCTTCCTACACTTTGCTGTAAATAAGAGCCAGTCATCTGATAAATAGGTTTTATTCTTCATTTTCAGTTAACAACCTTTTTCCACCTAAGTTGGTTCTTAAGATTATAATGTAACTGTCAGGCATTTGATAAATACAGGCCCTGATTAGTAAGCTCTGTGCAAGACACTAAAAATTCCTGTCATCAGATTTGCAGGTTGGACAGCAGCAGAGGTGGAGCACTCTGCCCAAAGTGTGGAGCGCTCAGCGGTCCTGCCTCAACTTCTGCCAGCAGTCTTACTACAGCACCCAGGAGGCAGAGAAAGAGCCTGAGGAAGAGCCCCTGCACACCATCATCAGTGACACAGAGTCTGTGCAAGGTGCTGCAACAGCTGGAGACATAACCACTGTTGAACGTCATGGCTCATAGCTAATCATTTCTTAATTTTAAGATGATCTGAATGTTGTTCTGCCTCTGATTTATCCAGGTAGCTTCTCCAAACATGAATTTCAGGCTGAAACAAAAAAGCTGCTGGACATTGTTGCCAGGTCCTTGTACTCAGAGAAAGAGGTAAGAAGGTTTGTTTTTGGAGAGAGGAACGTTCAACATAGCTAGACTGACATTTAAGTTTATTAACTATAACTGCTCTTTTCTGACTGATTCCCTGCCTCCTCCACATCCCACCAGGTGTTCATCAGGGAGCTGATCTCCAATGGTAGTGACGCTCTGGAAAAACTGCGTCACAAACTGATCACAGCAGGAGGTGAAACAGCTCCCATGGAGATCCACCTGCAGTCTGACGCTGCCAAGGGCACCTTCACCATCCAGGTACACCCACATCTGTGGAAGATGTGCAGCCTGCAGGAGTTTATAATGACTGGTATTATTACTTTGGAGAACTCTGTGTGTTGTTGTTCTTCCAGCTCCGTGTTGATTTTTTTGTTAGACATACAACGTTATTACCCTTTTCCACTGCATGAACGAAGGGTAATGTTTACATTTTTTACGTGTTCTGCTGTTGGTTCCGCTGGTCTCAGCCCACTTTGGGGATGAGTTCTTGGAGTAAGATTTTGGCACTGCTTAGGAGGTGGTGCTAAATGATAAAAGTTCCAGATGCTGGCATATTCCAATAAGAATGACTGCAACAAACACAACAAACAACACATTTTTACCACTGGATCTCTATCAACCAGGACAACCAATATTTAAGAATATGTACTATGGAGAGCATTTGATGGACAAAGATATCCAAGCCTTCATTAGTATTTGGGGAGAGGAAGTCATCCAGAGGAAGCTGTCAGCAATGGGAAATGAAAGGCCTGTTTCTGTGTCAGTACATGTAAAAACATTAAACAAGATTATAGAAATGAATCACAATGTGAAGACTACGAAGTGATTTGATGCTCTTGAAGCCATTTTGTGTCACTGAGTTGCTTGTGTCGGCCCCAGCTATGTCCTGGATTCGGCATTCATGTCAAAGAAATTAGTAACAGAATCAGTGCCACTCCTTTCATTGTTTGCCCTTATTTTAATCTCCTGCTCAACAGTGTGTTAAAATTATATTGATGGTCCCACTGTTAAAAAAAAGAAATATATCTGAAACACTTCAGATTGTGAAACACAAGAAAAAATCATGTTGAGGGTCGTTAAGCTCCTGCAGTGTTTAAGAGCTAATAAGGGTCACTGTCACAAAGAACGTTACAGGGAATCATGTTCACCATAACGCTGTACAACACCTCACCTCTGTGTGAGAGGTGAACACACTGCTGCATTACAATCTGCACTAATACATCATACAGTTGCTGCATTTATTATACACTGCCATTTTGCACAGTTCTTATTGCACTCCAACCTTTCTTGCACACTATATTTCTGATTAATGCTGTGTCTGATTTTATTTATATTTAAATTTTTATTTTCAATATCTGGTTCTGCAGTTCAGCAGTTGTGGTTTTAATTTTTGATTCAGCTGTTAACTGCAGTCTGCTGTGACATTTCCTCACGGGCTAAATTAAGTGCTATTTGTCTATCTACTGTATCTATCCATACTGTACTGTTTCCTGGTCTGTTTTTGAGCAGCATTGCCACCTGGTGGATCAATATTGAACAACAACTGACAGTGACTTCTTTTTGAATGACTGGGAATCTCTATACTCCTAACAGGACACTGGAGTGGGCATGAACCAAGAGGAGCTGGTGGCCAACCTGGGGACCATCGCCCGCTCCGGTTCAAAGGTGATTGTTGTTGTAGATCTTCTTCCATTTGTCCTGTTCTACCACCTTTCCTTTCTTCCTCATATAATGTATTCATGTATGGGTATGTCTGTCCTGTAATGTCTGCCAGTTCAGCTTTAAACTTCAGGTTTGTGCATCTAATTTGTTCATTGAGTAAACAGTAAGTTCACACTCGTATATTTGATGTATCCTGCTGATCATGCTTTCTTCCAGACTAATCATCTCTTCTACACACTACAGGCATTTTTGGACGCTCTGCAGAACCAGGCGGAGGCCAGCAGCACCATCATTGGTCAGTTTGGGGTTGGATTCTACTCTGCCTTCATGGTAGCTGACCGTGTGGACGTGTACTCCCGCTCTGCTGAGCCCGGGGCACCTGGATACAAGTGGTCCTCAGACGGGTGAGAGCAATAGAGGGAAGTGTTTCATTTCAACATCAAGAGGAGGGACAGAAAAATATCCTGGGCGTGATTCTGTTCTACAGCAGAACAAAGCATGCAAATATACATATGTGAAATGATTATAACCGAATGTGATCCTCAGACGTTCTCTGTCATGGTCATCTCCCTCAGCTCTGGTGCTTTTGAGATCGCTGAAGCCAGTGGTGTTCAACAGGGGACAAAGATTGTGCTGCACCTCAAGGACGACTGCAAGGAGTTTTCCGCTGAGGACAGAGTTAAAGGTAAAACTGCTGAAGCTTCATCAGGGAGCTAAAATCAACTGCAGAGAGCATATTCATTACTACATCACTCCATGTGATGACAAGCTGTTGTATCTCTTTCAGAGGTCGTAACAAAGTACAGCAACTTTGTGAGCTTCCCCATCTTTCTGAATGGACGGAGGCTCAACACTCTACAGGTGAGCTGCTCTGGCTCTGCTGTTCCCTCGCTTCTTAAACCAAAGACTCAATGAACGGGTGCAAAGATTCACAAAATTCACGGTACTACAATTCTAGATGTTATGATTCAGTACATTTAGTAACATTTGAAACATAGTGATAATACAGTGTTTTCTCAGTAGCATGTACTGTACAGCACAGAAGATGCACTGCTTTACTGTATCACACATAACAAAAGCAACCAAACTGCTGACAAAAACAGGAAATATCTACTCATCAACACCCACAGCATGATATTTTTACATTTACGGTTTCAACTATAAATGTCAAATACATTCAGTCTATCATGTATTCATCAACATTAACAGATCTGGCTCAGGGGTGCTTCTTGTAAACGTGCATCTGTTTCTAAAAAGTGAGTCACCCACAGAATTTAAATAAGGAAATAGGAACTGACTTAGACATTTCAGTGGTCATGAATTGGGGCAGTGGTATCTTTTTTTCTATCTCTAAATATTAGCAGATATATTTGACATTAGAATTTCATTCCCAAACACAAATATTTTCCATAATGAAATGAAAATAAAGATTTTACGATTTGCCAACATGCCAATATTGTGCATCGTCTGAGCTGGAGAACAAGTAAGGTTTCGCTGTAATTGTTTTTATACTAATTATTGTTTGACCGCTGTCTCCCTTCAGGCCTTGTGGATGATGGAGCCTAAGGAGATTAGTGACTGGCAGCATGAGGAATTCTACCGCTACGTGGCCCAGGCCTACGACAAACCCCGCTACACGCTGCACTACCGCGCTGACGCCCCGCTCAACATCCGAAGCATCTTCTACGTCCCTGATGCGGTGAGGCACTCAGGACTTCACAACTGACACTGTTAACTTTATTTCAGTAGAGTTTTCACTGGCAAGCTCAGAGAAAATCTTACAGTTCAAAGGGGAATGTTACTCTTTGACATTTGAAAATCAAACCAGCAGCTTTCCAGGCACAAATCTGGTTCCACAAGCCCTTAAACAATACCAACCTGTGTTTAAATGTCTTAGATTGTGCTAATTTAAGTAGTTCTCTCTCAAGAGAGAACATTTTTTCAGTGGCTATGAGTAAGATGAAGTTGGATTTGGTCAAACTGATGTATGACAAAATTTATGCATCAACAGAAGCCGAGCATGTTTGACGTGAGCAGAGAGATGGGCTCCAGCGTGGCTCTGTACAGCAGGAAGGTCCTGATCCAGACCAAAGCGACTGAAATCCTCCCCAAGTGGCTGCGCTTCCTCCGAGGTCAGGATCCTCCCAACCGCCTCCACCTGCTCCCAGTGGAGCTGCTTGTTTTTACATTCATGATTTTTATAGATTGAAGGAGCAAATATTGAGTGCTGAGCTAATTACTGTGTGTGTGTGTTTGTGTGTGTGTATAGGTGTGGTGGACAGTGAGGACATCCCTCTGAATCTGAGCAGAGAGCTGCTGCAGGAGAGCGCCCTCATCAGGTATAACACCAGGCTTACACCTTAGTTCTCTTTGATGAAGATGGAATAACTTCCCTTTCATTTCTCAGTTTTTTACTTTTCCTCCAATATTGATCCACGGATGATTCATATTTCTACCATCACCTCTGGCTTCAGGAAGCTTCGTGACGTTTTGCAGCAGAGGGTGATCCGCTTCCTGCTGGACCAGAGCAAGAAGGAGCCAGAGAAGTACAGCAAGTTCTTTGAGGACTATGGCCTCTTCATGAGGGAGGGCATCGTCACCACCCAGGAACAAGATGTCAAGGTGACACAGTCTTTGGTTTTTAAAGGGGAAAAGTAATAAAGATGCAAGAGACCAGCGCTGAAAGCAGCAGAGAAATGTTGTCTCCAAGTATTGTCTCCCTTACGTGCTCTGTGTTTATAGGAGGATATTGCGAAGCTGTTGAGGTATGAGTCGTCTGCTCTCCCAGCGGGTCAGCAGACCAATCTGATGGAGTACGCCTCTCGAATGAAGGCTGGCACACGCAACATCTACTATCTGTGCTCCCCCAACCGCCATCTTGCAGAGCACTCCCCCTACTATGAGGCCATGAAACAGAAAGACATGGAGGTGAGAGGCTGACATGACTGATAGTGATGATTAAATTATGTTTATTTGATTTTAATTTTTTTTTAAAGGGCTCTGTTGCTGTTACTGAGAAGCTGATAAAAAAAATACCCTGTTCAATCCAGTTAAAAGGTGTCTTTTACTCTCTGCGTGTGTGCAGGTGCTCTTCTGCTACGAGCAGTTTGATGAGCTGACGCTGCTCCACCTCAGGGAGTTTGACAAGAAGAAGCTGATCTCAGTGGAGACAGACATTGTGGTGGATCACTACAAGGAGGAGAAGTTTGAGGACATCAAACCAGGTCTGGTTCTCTATCATATCTCAATATAGTTGTAGCAGGACGCCTCTTGCTGTCATGGCCTGTAATCCTAACCCGTGTTTAAAATCCTTTCTCTGCAGCGTCTGAGCGTCTGACACAGGAGCAGGCCGACGACCTGATGGCCTGGATGAAGAACGCCCTGGGTCCACGAGTCACTAACATAAAGGTAAAGATAAGAGTCGTGTGTGTCTATGATTCTGAATTTCATAGGGTGGTTTCTAGTTTTTAAAGTCTTGTTTGTATAGGTGTATAAACTCAAGCCCTCAAATCAGTTAGATTTCTTCAAGTTTTAAAGTTCAGTCTCATGTTTCTTCCTAACTGGCCTGAAAAATATCTTGAAAGTAACTTCTTACAGACATGCTGTGTAATGCATTTTCTCTCCGGTCCCCCAGCTTACTCCTCGTCTGGACACCCACCCAGCTATGATCACCGTGCTGGAAATGGGTGCTGCTCGCCACTTCCTCCGCACCCAGCAGCTAGCCCGCACCGCTGAGGAGAGAGCTCAGATACTGCAGCCCACATTGGAGATCAATGCTGGGTAAGGGATGGATGGATTTTACTAGATGAAATTTAAGAAAAAAAAAAAAACGATGGTATAACTTTAAATAATGAGGGTTCTTTGTCCAGCTCTCACTGTTTTGTACTTTTTCCATCATCTGATAGACACGATCTGATCAAGAAGTTGCACAGTCTGAAAGACACAGACTCTGACCTGGCTGGACTGCTACTGGAGCAGGTACTGTTTTGTCATATTTTAGTAAGAAGCCTCCTTGTTTTCTGATCTGCTCCTGTTTTAATTTGCTGTTTATACAAACTCAAAACTTTCTCAGTGCTCACCTGTTGACTTGCACATTTTCTACAGCACAAATTCCTCCAGTTTAACAAGATCATGTCCTAGTTTAACAGGACAATATTAGCTATACAAATAACAACAACAAAAAAAAGAAAGATCCAAAAACAACTAGTCTCCCTATGTTGAGAATAACACACAATTAAATGACAGAACAAGCCTGCTATATTGCAGTGGACCCTTTATAATACTAATACCTAATTGTGGGAGTGAACTGCAAAGATTTTGTTTCTATTTTTCAACAGAGATACAGTTTTCATTCACCAATAATCACCAGTTACATTTGCTGTATTTAAGTTACTTGCAATGAAACTCGATACTTCCTGCACTGACGTTTTACATTAAAAGCCTTTCAGTAGCTCCCATTCCTGGTAGGCTTTTACTTTGAAACATCTGCAGGAAACGTTGAGTTTTATTAACAGTAACTTAAAGGCACTCAATTACTGAAAGTGACTGGAGTAAATATTTCTGTTCAGCAGCAGATAGATGAGTATGAAGTGACTCTTGTATCGAGGGAATCAGAGCTGTAGCTGTAGAATCTTAATCTGACTTTACCATGCAAGTTTCTAAAATACAGGTGATTGCAACTCCCTCAATGTTTACCTTGCCTTTATTAACAATCAGCCTTTATTTGTTTGTGCTGGTTGTTACTGAGACTGGGCTGTTACTTTAGGACAAGCTTATTTTGAGAATTAGTGGTTTGTTTTTCATTATTTTCTCAAGAAATCGTTGTGGGATTAATAAAAATGAAATATGATTACAGTGATAAATGATAATTAAATATTGTTAACGTTGCCCAGTCTCTACAATCTGTATTTACTGGATTTACATCTTTTTATCTAAATTTCTCAGATCTATGACAACGCCATGATCACAGCAGGCCTGAATGATGATCCCCGACCAATGATTTCCCGCTTGAACGATCTACTGACTAAAGCTTTGGGGAAGCACTGAGAGCTACATACAGACATGAACTTGGTTTTGATGACTGAAGCATTTACAGCAGCCGATGGGCCTACAAAGCTGGAGAACTGCAGTTTCTAAAGAGCACTACAGGCCTTATCTGTCTCTTTCCCCTCTGGCGTACTTCATTTCCCCCTGGAGGAGAGCACATACGGGCTGGGGAAAGATGAACTGCTAGCAGCATCTGAGAGAGCTTTTCCATAAACATTTCTATGTCGTCACGCTCTTTGTTCAGCACTATTTCATCAGGAGTTTCAAATTTTGTGCATATAATTTAAAAGATTGTGCTGTACACCTGTCTTTTCAGTGTGACGTTCACACTCCGATGTAAAAAAATTGATTTTTTCTGACATTGGCATCTGGTTTTCACGGCCACAAACAATGCAAAGATGAAGGGAGAAAGAAGTGGTGGAGACGCATTAAAAAAAGATTCAGTTCAAAAGTGTGGAAGTAAGAAAATCTGGTTTCTCGAATCTCATTTCAAAATCCTGTTGAAATGCCATGTGTAATAACAACTAACCGTTGTTAGTGTGCGTTCGGTAAGCTGTAAGAGACAGATGACAGTTCATTTACAAATGCAAAATGTCCTGCTGAAAAGAGCAGTTTTCTATTTTTCTGTTTTCAATTTTTCATCTTTTCTTTCCACATTTAATAGTTTATGTTCACTTTTTTTTTCTTTTTCTTTTTTTTTTTTTTTTAAATAGGAGCTGAATACCTTGCAATACTACTTGCAAATGCAACTTGTTAACCGTCAGTGGTCAAATGTGGATCCTTATCAGGTTCCATTTGTATTATGTACCTACCTGTAGTAGGTGCATAATACAAATGGAACTTGTTAGGAATATATTATTACCCAATGTAAATTTGATTCAAAATACTGTATATGCATTTATGGAGCTGTTACTGGTGGCTTTGCATCAAAACACACAATTATGGATCCATTCTTGTGACAATAAAAAAACATGCCAATGTAGAGAATTCTTGAAAAGACAATTTTACTGCATTATGACATCTCTGTTGTCAGGGTGGCAAGATGAGAAAACCTCAACTTCAAGACATTGTCCTTCTGTGTGCCATCTGTGTCAGACTGACTGTTTAGTGTTGGATGGGTTGGGGTTAAAAGGCTTAGAGTTCAAGTGAGGTGATTCTCTGTGGTTTCTATGTCAGCGTCCCAGCGCTGTCCATCCCTTTGAATCACTTCAGGGCACTTTGACCCATCACACCTGCTGCTCCCAGGTATCCTCTCTTCAGTGAGCCGTTCTGCTTCAGGTCTCACCTCCTGACCGCCTGTCAAGATCCATAAATCCCAGAAGAGTGTCAGGACAGCTTGTCTATGTTGGCTAGGAAGCGCTGGGCCCACCATTCATCCAGGTCAATGGGCACAAAGTCTAGAAGGTAAGCAATTAAGTCATTTGCACCACAATGCAACATTAAAAGTGTATAACAATGCAAGTAGAGTGTAAGGATGAAATATAAAAACAAAACTTACTCTATTACCACTACTAGAAATCTGAAAATAGGTCATAAATGAATGCAGTTGATGTTAAATAAAACTACATTTTTCAGTTTTTATAGATTTTTTTTAAAGTCAACTTCTGTAATTATGTCCTTATCTCTCGTTGTAGTTTCTGCCTTAACGTAAACACTAAGCAAGGGGGGGATAACATCAATTTTGAAAACAACTGTATTAATTAACATCTGTTTGAGAAAGTTTTGTGGCGCGTAGTAAATGCTAGCGATGTACATAGCAGGCAGACGTTAGCATGTTAGCACCTTTCATATTTTTTCTCAATAAGGTAACCAAATTGAAGCACAACGAAACATACTACAACACATAATAGCGGCCACACTTACTAATTAAAGACGCCACATTCTTTGATAAGGCTAACACATAATCACATTGTGGATCAGGGAATTGTGAGTGCTCATTGCCCTCTTGTGGCCGCAATGAGGAACTGCAACATTTACATCTTAGGTTATAACTCCACACTTCTTTCTAAATCTATTTGTCACACACCAAAGTGTCTCAATGACTGTACATAACTTACTTAAAATCACTACTTTGTCTGTTTATTGGACATCATATAACTATATATATATAATAACTTGTCATATTGGCTTCACATTTTATTTTACTGTAAACTACAGCACAATTTTGACTTATCTGCATATTCAAATAAGAAAAATAATCAAAAATTAAAAACTACACTCCACACACAAATTTCTTTATGATGCATGACGTGTTGTATGTTATGTTTTAAATTCTTACAAATACTCGTCAGCTTTGATGACATGGCAATAAAGTATGAAACTTGAATTAATATTTCTAAATGTGTTAACAGAGTTGGAATTTGAACAATGAGGAGAGACAGGCCTGTGACCTCTGCAAGTTTCCTTCCAGCTGGAAGGATCAGAGGCAGTTCCATTAATCCTTTGTTGGCTGGCTGTAATAAACCAATACAACCTGCTGTGCAGGGTAGACTAACTATAGATGTATGGGGCTGTTTTCATAAAACACGAACAACAAAAAATATTTAAAAGTCCTATTATTTTTAATTGTTGTAAACAGGCCTATTTAGCTTTAAAACAGGCATAAATAATTTGTACTCAGTCCACCCTTAAAATGAAAGTTATAAACTGAAAACATGAGCAGCTTGGGGAGAATGGTGCAGTGTGAGGAGAAGCTGTACTCACTGTCCATGTGTGGGCTGGGAGTGGTCTCTTTATAGTGGACTGCTCCCTGGGCTTCCTCTGACCCCTGGCTGGGCCTCTGCTCCTGCTGCACCACCTCCTCCCAGGCTGAAAACACAACTCAGTCAGTCCAACCACAATTAACACCTACAAACTACTGCAGGTCCATAATGTGTTTTATTAGTCCTACATATTCCTATATAGTCCTATAATAATATTCCTAACAATTTCCTGATCAACTTTCAGAGCTCACATACAGGATTTAATACAGTTATATTTCTGGTAGTTCGGGAAACAAAATTAAATGTAATCTTTTAAGAATGTAATTAGTTGGTAACAGAAAATGATCTTATACTATATGTCCAGGTTTTAAAAAAGTCCTGCACCCCAGTGTCACACCCACAGTGTCAAACAAGTAAAGTCCACAAGGGCAACTGCTTCAAAGGCCTGCCACTCCTGGCACACATTTGTATTTCAAATAATGCTGCATGTGGACTTGTCACACATAGTTTGTGTGTGTGTGAGCATGCATGCATATGAACTATAACTGATGTTATCTCTGTGACTTTGAGTTTGTTTATAGTATTTCAAAGAGTGAAAGAGAAAGAATCAGCCCTGAACAGGGGGCAGGGGGCGGGCCTACTTTGTGTCCTTGTTCACTCAATGACAAGGTTACTGAAGTTGTTTATGAGCTGCAGTGGCTAACTTCAACACCAACAACTCAGAGGACATAGACAACATGAGCTTAAGCCAAATGAAGTCTCCTGGAGACTGAATGAGTCTGTGAATGTTAAAAAGAGGCACGCGCACACACACTTAAGAACTGGGTCACTGTGTAGAGTTTCACCCAGAGCCCACAAAAGCCTTTATCCTGTCAGGAGCTTTTGTTGCCTTTCCTCAAAGCAGACAACAAGTCTCTTTCCCCGAGTGGCTTTTGGGTTTAAGCCAAAGCCAAAGCCAAAAAAACACTGTTTCCCGCAGGACGTGGGTGCCAGCGCAGGTCACGGGGACCGTGATATGTGGGTGTGAGAGCATTTTACTTCTGGGCGCCTATCATGGCTATCAGTGTCAGAGCAGCTGTGTGGGTGAGGTCTGGGAAGGGGAGGGGCGGCTGGGTAGCAGCTCTTATAAACTATGATAGTAAAACAATGTCATTCACAAAACAGCCGTTGGGGGACTAGTGAAGACAATGAAAAGTCTTGTCTAGTGTCATCTTCTCGTATTTCCAGTCAGACTACTCATTCATTTCCTCACCGTCGTAGACAAACTTGACGTTTTCCTCATGTGCAGCGGTGAAAGTCTCTTCCTGATGGTTGTCTGCAGGGAGAGCCGGAGCGGGATGATGATACTTTTTACCATTCAGGCGGTTGAAAACTATCTTAGGTGCAGGAAGGCTGATTGATGGGTATAAGGAGGAAGAGAACCATGTCACAGGTAGTCTGGGGAATTTTTTCATACACAGCACATGATTTGATAACTCTCATTTCTCAGCAGGACGTTTCTTAAAATTGTCTGCCTTTGCCTTAAAGTCAAGCAAGGTTGGTTGTGTAGGAGTCAGAGATTGCAACAGCTGAATGAAGGACCATGTGCCACCTCGCCTTCCCACAAGGTCACACTCACACTAGTTCAAAGGCATGAAAACAGCCCAGCAGGCAGATTGAGCCACAGTGTGGAGGTGTGTTATAAATCATTCAGGCCTGTGCTTATGAACTAACGCTGCCTGTCTCGAGATGATGACGTCCACTGCTGCCAGGACACTGTCACTCACTAACACACACTCTAACCTAGGATGTCATGTCTGATCTCTGCAAACACGAGCCAAACTATTGAGATTTTTTACATGGAGACACACAAAAAAGCATTACAGGACTGAGAGCATCAAAGAGATTTTTCATTACGTCTATTTTCACTTACTTAGGCAGACTCCAGGACGTTTGTTTGTGCTTGAAGTCGTTTATTTTGTTGTCCAGCTGCTGTGTGGGCCCTAGAAAGTAAAAGAAAGCGCACATTCTGCTTTAAAAAAACGGCTGATCATTAGTTTTCCAAAATCAATGTCTGATGAATCTCTGGAAGTGTGTCTGACATAGTTGAAAGTTGGTTATTAAAGTCCAGAGTCTCACCTGTGCGTCGCTGGGTGACCAGTTTGCTGGGACCTCTTGTAATTGTGTACATCATGCGCAGGAAAAGTCGCCTGTAAACTTCAAGTTTGGCACTTTGACGTAAGAAGAAGCAGCGTCCCAGATTGAGCAGACAGGTGGAGCAGGCCTACTTATAAAGGCACGTTAACACATTCCTCCAGGATCCTGTCGGTGTAAAGAAAGTATCTTAATGTGAGGAGCGTCAGTCCTACCCTCAGCTGATCAGGCTAAATTCCGCTCACAGGCTGAGACACTGAAGCCAACGCAAACCCACGGAGCTGACATGAGACTGGACTGGACAGAGCTCCCAGGAAACAGAACCATGAGCAGCGCTCCTACACCGCGTAAAAACCAGAAGCCGGGGCACATCTCAGCCAGCGACCCTCCCCCCTTTCACCTGTCTCCGTCCCCGAGCTCAGACATATAGCTACTGTAAGTCACTTTGGTGCTGAGGTGTCCTGCACTGCCACAATGTCACGCAACCTGAAACAGCGGCTGTCATTCATAAGACATAGGACGCACGCAGTCAAAGCTCACCACTTCTCGACGTGCCCACACGCCTCCTTCGGCGCTTTAAAGAGACAGTGTCCCAGGATTGTAACAAATCTGTATCAGGGGAGGGGGTGAGAGAACTCCAAAGGCCACCGCGTTGAGACTGAAATCCCCTTCATGTGAGGGAATTGTGTGATCACACATTTTCTTCCCTGATCTGAATTATTCTAGAAATGTCCAGTAAGTCAAGTATAAATCCCCTCCCCATAGCTACATCACTGTTTACAGAAACAGTTAATTAAATAAACTTAATCCTCTCAGATGAGTTAAATTTCTTCCAGGATTCATTCAACAGGGCCTATGTTATCTGCTCCTCCAATAATCCCCTATGTGGCCAACGTTTCTGAGTTTACAGTACACACAGGTGAGCTCAGAGGCACAACGCAGTTTTACTATACACACAAATAAGGGCGAAGGTTTACATATGGACAATAGGTACATGTGCCTACCAATATTTTGGGAGGACAGAATTGTCCCCACCAATATTTGAGTGAACTTGTTTGCCTGGTGCCTTTCTGTGGGGAGTTTTGTTGTCTTTTATGCCTCACTATACTATGTCTTTTTTGCCTTACTATACTATGTCTTTGTTTTGCCTTACTGTACTGTCTTTTTTTGCCTTACTATACTGTCTTTTTTTTTGCCTTACTATACTGTCTCTTTTTTTTGCCTTACTATACTGTCTCTTTTTTTTGCCTTACTATACTATGACGTTTTTTGTGCCTTACTATTCTATGACGTTTTTATGCCTATGACTTATTATGCTTAAATGTACTATAATGTTTTTATACCTTACTGTACTATCACTTCTCCAGGCCTTTGTCCTTTCTGTGTGGAGTTTATGCCTTACTATATAACACAGGTGGTGGACTTTTGCAGGTGGAAACACGATCCTTTCACACCAGTGAACATCGAGGGAATGGACATTGAAATAGTGGACTCTTATAAGTACCTGAGTTTTCATCTGAACAATTTACTGAACTGGAGACACAACACTAGTGCACTGTACAAAACAGGACAGGTCTTTTGGAGTGCAGGGGGCACTCCTGAGGACCTTTTATGACTCTGTAGTGGCATCAGCCATCTTCTATCGTGTGGTCTGCTGGGGCAGCAGCATCTCCGCTGCTGACAGGAAGACACTGAATAGAATGATCAGGAAGGCCAGTTCTGTTGTGGGATGCCCCCTTTGACCCGGTGGAGGTACTGGGCGACAGGAAGATGGTGGCGAAGTTATCATACCTGTTTGAAAACATCTTCCACCCCATGCAGGACACTCTGACAGCACTGAGCAGCTTGTTCAACAACAGGCTGCTGCATCCACGGTGTGTGAAGGAGAGATACTGCAGGTCTTTCCTTCCTGCTGCTGCTATACTGTACAACAAATTGTCTTGTGTTTTGTTTGTTTTGTATTTAATGTCAAATTGTAAGTATTATATTATTATATTATTTAGTGGTTTTTAGTACTTGGTACTAACATTTCAGTTTTTTTCTTTCTAGTGCTGTCACATTGCTGCTGTAATACTGCAAATTTCCCCACTGTGTGACGAATAAAGCAATATCTTTTCTTTTCTTTTCTTTTTCCTTCTTATCTTATACGATATACTAAAGGCTAGCATAGACTTTTCTTATTCCTTACTATACTATGGCGTTTTTTCATGACTTACTAAACTATGACTTTTTATGCCTGATTATACTATGACTTTTTATGACTAAGTATAATATGATGTTTTTATGACTTTTCATGCCTTACTATATTATGATTTTTTTATGACTATTTGTGCCTTACTACACTATGGTGTTTTTATGACTTGCTATACTATGACGTTTTTTTTTACTTTTTATGCCTTACTATAATATGACATTTTATGACTCTTTATGCCTTACTATCAAATGACGTTCTTATGCCTTAGTATACTATGACGTTCTTATGAATTTTTATGCCTTAATATACTATGACGTTCTGATGACTTTTTATGCCTTACTATACTATGAAATTTTATGATTTTGTATGCCTTACTATGAAAATACCTTCTTATGCCTTACTGTAGTATGACAATTTAAAAAATTTTGTGCATTAATAAACTAGTTTTTATCACTTTTTATATTTTGTTATACTATGACGTTTTTTAGGACTTTTTATGCCTTACTATACTAAGACACTTTCATGACTATGTATGCCTTCATATCCTATGACGTTTTTTAAACTATTTAAGCCTTATTATACTATGGCATTTTCATGACTTTTTATGACTTACTATACTATGAAATTTTTATGACTTTTTATGCCTTAATATACTATAACGTTTTTATAACTCTTCATGCATTACTATACTATGACATTTTATGACTTTTTATACATTAATATATGATGACATTTTTATGACTTTTCATGCCTTACTATACTATGACTTTTTGTGACTTTTTATGCCTTAATATACTATGACATTTGATTACTTTTCATGCCTTACTATAAAATTACCTTTTTACGCCTTATTATACTATGGTGTTTTTATCACTTTTTATGCCTTAATATACGATGAAGTTTTTATGACTTTTTATGCCTTACTATACTATGACATTTTTATGGCTTACTATGGAATGATGATTTTGTAACTTTTTATGCCTTAATATACTATGACGTTTTTATGACCTTTTGTGCCATACTTTACTATGATGTTTTTTGGCATTTTTGTGCTATACTATATTTTGAGGTTTTTTGGCATTATTATGCCTCACTATATTATTTTGTCTTAGGCTTTGCCATACTATGACCTTTTTATGACCTTTTATGCCTTAATATACTATGATGTTTTTTTGAAGTTAAAAAACATCTGAGTATATCAAGGCATAAAAGGTCATATAAATGTCATAGTATGGCGAGGCATGAGACAAAATAATATAATATAGCATAATAATGCCAAAAAACGTCAAAATATAGTATGGCACAAAAATGCCAAAAAACGCCATAGTATAGTATGGCATAAAACTTCAAAAAAACATCATAGTATATTAAGGCATAAAAGGTCATATAAACGTCATAGTATGGCAAAGCATAAGACAAAATAATATAGTAAGGCATAAAAACGCCAAAAAACATGAAAATATAGTATGGCACAAAAATGCCAAAAAACGCCATAGTATAGTATGGCATAAAACGTCAAAAAAACATCTTAGTATATTAAGGCATGAAAGGTCATATAAATGTCGTAGTATGGCGAGGCATGAGACGAAATAATATAATATGGCATAATAATGCCAAAAAACGTCAAAATATAGTATGGCACAAAAATGCCAAAAAACGCCATAGTATAGTATGGCAAAAAACTTCAAAAAAACATCATAGTATATTAAGGCATAAAAGGTCATATAAACGTCATAGTATGGCAAAGCATAAGACAAAATAATATAGTAAGGCATAAAAACGCCAAAAAACATGAAAATATAGTATGGCACAAAAATGCCAAAAAACGCCATAGTATAGTATGGCATAAAACTTCAAAAAAACATCATAGTATATTAAGGCATGAAAGGTCATATAAACGTCATAGTATGGCAAGGCATGGGACGAAATAATATAATATGGCATAATAATGCTAAAAAACATCAAAGTATACTATGGCACAAAAATGCCAAAAAACGCCATAGTATAGTATGGCATAAAACTTCAAAAAAACATCATAGTATATTAAGGCATGAAAGGTCATATAAACGTCATAGTATGGCAAGGCATGGGACGAAATAATATAATATGGCATAATAATGCTAAAAAACATCAAAGTATACTATGGCACAAAAATGCCAAAAAACGCCATAGTATAGTATGGCATAAAACTTCAAAAAAACATCATAGTATATTAAGGCATGAAAGGTCATATAAACGTCATAGTATGGCAAGGCATGGGACGAAATAATATAATATGGCATAATAATGCTAAAAAACATCAAAGTATACTATGGCACAAAAATGCCAAAAAACGCCATAGTATAGTATGGCATAAAACTTCAAAAAAACATCATAGTATATTAAGGCATGAAAGGTCATATAAACGTCATAGTATGGCAAGGCATGGGACGAAATAATATAATATGGCATAATAATGCTAAAAAACATCAAAGTATACTATGGCACAAAAATGCCAAAAAACGCCATAGTATAGTATGGCATAAAACTTCAAAAAAACATCATAGTATATTAAGGCATAAAAGGTCATATAAACGTCATAGTATGGCAAAGCATAAGACAAAATAATATAGTAAGGCATAAAAACGCCAAAAAACATGAAAATATAGTATGGCATAAAAATGCCAAAAAACGTCATAGTATAGTATGGCATAAAACTTCAAAAAAACATCATAGTATATTAAGGCATAAAAGGTCATATAAACGTCATAGTATGGCAAGGCATGGGACGAAATAATATAATATGGCATAATATGGCATAATAATGCTAAAAAACATCAAAGTATACTATGGCACAAAAATGCCAAAAAACGCCATAGTATAGTATGGCATAAAACTTCAAAAAAACATCATAGTATATTAAGGCATAAAAGGTCATATAAACGTCATAGTATGGCAAAGCATAAGACAAAATAATATAGTAAGGCATAAAAACGCCAAAAAACATGAAAATATAGTATGGCATAAAAATGCCAAAAAACGTCATAGTATAGTATGGCATAAAACTTCAAAAAAACATCATAGTATATTAAGGCATAAAAGGTCATATAAACGTCATAGTATGGCAAGGCATGGGACGAAATAATATAATATGGCATAATAATGCTAAAAAACATCAAAGTATACTATGGCACAAAAATGCCAAAAAACGCCATAGTATAGTATGGCATAAAACTTCAAAAAAACATCATAGTATATTAAGGCATAAAAGGTCATATAAACGTCATAGTATGGCAAAGCATAAGACAAAATAATATAGTAAGGCATAAAAACGCCAAAAAACATGAAAATATAGTATGGCATAAAAATGCCAAAAAACGTCATAGTATAGTATGGCATAAAACTTCAAAAAAACATCATAGTATATTAAGGCATAAAAGGTCATATAAACGTCATAGTATGGCAAGGCATGGGACGAAATAATATAATATGGCATAATAATGCTAAAAAACATCAAAGTATACTATGGCACAAAAATGCCAAAAAACGCCATAGTATAGTATGGCATAAAACTTCAAAAAAACATCATAGTATATTAAGGCATAAAAGGTCATATAAACGTCATAGTATGGCAAAGCATAAGACAAAATAATATAGTAAGGCATAAAAACGCCAAAAAACATGAAAATATAGTATGGCATAAAAATGCCAAAAAACGTCATAGTATAGTATGGCATAAAACTTCAAAAAAACATCATAGTATATTAAGGCATGAAAGGTCATATAAACGTCATAGTATGGCAAGGCATGGGACGAAATAATATAATATGGCATAATAATGCTAAAAAACATCAAAGTATACTATGGCACAAAAATGCCAAAAAACGCCATAGTATAGTATGGCATAAAACTTCAAAAAAACATCATAGTATATTAAGGCATAAAAGGTCATATAAACGTCATAGTATGGCAAAGCATAAGACAAAATAATATAGTAAGGCATAAAAACGCCAAAAAACATGAAAATATAGTATGGCATAAAAATGCCATAGTATAGTTTGATGTTTTTTAGCATATTATTATTAGTATGGCATATTATTATTGCGTCCCTACCAATGTTGATACTAAACCTATGCACACACGCCTCTGTTTATAATGCAACCATGCTTAACTATATACTAAAAAGTGGCACTGAGGTGGATGAGTTTTGTAAACTGGTTTTACATTCTAAAGATTTAATTGAGCCAAACAAGGAAGATTAAATATTTTGATGATTTGTCTGTGGTGTATGTGGTGTAAGCAAATAAAAAAGAAGGAAATGCAAGAGAAATGTTGATTTCTTTCTTTCTTTATTTAATTTTTTATTTCAGAGAAAGTTGTCAACAAGATTAGGTTGTTAAGCCTTTTGGCTACAAGAAACAAAAAAATCAAAAGGAAAATCTTTTTTTGGTTTGTTTTGTTTCTGGGACTTTGGAGTTTACATTCTGCAGTTACAGACAAGTTATGGTGGGCATCTTAAGGCTGAGTCTGATATTAGTCAGTTTCTGAAGAAAATATAACTGAAATGTTTGAAAGGAAATTTGATTGTACATATGGTACAGAGGTTTTTAGTGGTAAGTCAAACATTTTTTTCTCAGGCAGGATGGATGACACTGAAAACGAGTTATCCTTCTCCATTGATGATTCATGATGTGTTTATCAAACAAGTCACACAGGTATGGCAGAGTTCATCTAAAACATCTACTTTCCCTCAAAAAAGAACATCTTTGGAGCATACAATCAAATTATACTATCATTACAGCTGAGTCATTCAACATTTTAATATCTTGCAGCAAAGTTTTTAGTGTATTTTGTGCAACTGTGGCACATAATGACAGCAGGCAAGTTTCTGAACAATCATACAATCAAGTAATCAGTGTAGAATATTCACAAGAGATCCACTATTAAATAAATATCATGATAGCAGGCGTTGGTATGGTGCCAACATGTCTAACGTTACATCTATTTGCACTGATGTCTCTTAAATGTGCAACAAACATCAGCACAGAAGGTAAAAAAGATCTTTAAATTAGCATGATCCTAATCCCTGGTCCAGGAGAGCTGGAGGTATTGCTGCTGGTAGTAGGATAAGGACATGGAGGTTTACAGTTTAGCTTTCATGGTTGCCTGTAGAGTTAAAGGGAAATTACCTGTATGCCAGCTACAGGTAATGATGTGTTCTTAATCTACAGTATTTCATACATGCATATCTATAAAGCTTGGGTTATTCGATTACCACTATAGAGCTGGTTAGCACCAAATTTCTTTCTTCCTCCTTAAATTTAAACTTAATCTATTGTATATACCTCAGTGTTTTATGTTCATTAAAAAGACAAGAAAATATGAAATGTGAATATGAAACATGATTTTTTTTTCTTTTTTGGCCAATCAAAAAGTTTCCAATGTCTACTTTCTTCACTGGGAAGCTGTGGAACATTACATTTTCTTTGAGGTTTTGATCACCTCTTTATGTCTTGAACTGCTGTATATATATATGTGTGTGTGTGTGTGTGTGTGTTTGTGTGTGTGTGAGAGAGACCATTCCTTCAGTATTGAGGATCACAGTCTTCCAGCAAACTGTCAGTGATGTAGCCGATCTTCAGCTGGTTTTGGTAGTAGTCTTTCTCCACAGCGGTGTTTACAGTCCAGCCCACCACCTCCACACCGCGCTCTGCCCAGTACTGAACATAGTCTCTGAGTGAGAGAAAGGAGGAGGAAGATAGGAGAATATAGCTCAGCGAATAAGGAGCAGCACCCACACATTTTTGGTTGCGAACAACACATGATATGGAATGATATGGTTCCAAACCTTTTGGCTTGTGACCCCATTAAATTAAGCAATAATGACCTATGACCTGTCATCATAGTTTATGGTCTTGTTGTAGACATGAGCTGCGAGTAGTTCAACAAAAACTTGATTTTTTCTTTTTCAGATTGTTTAATTTGAAGGATTTTTGAAGGGTGAATTGGTCAAACTGTCCAGTATTTTGTGAGAAAAAAAATAGAGGAAAGTCAGAAAAAGTATAGACAAGCTGCATAACAGAAATATATCTTTTTTGTATTTATCCCTTTAACCACTCCCAGATTTATCTTGGGAGTCCTCAGGGGATCATGATTGCCAGTTTGGCCTGGTGTGGACATGTCCCGACACCAAACAAATGAAACCATTTTGAACAACACAGAACAATGTTGCAGTTTCGAGGCCCCAGTTCCAGCAGTTACAGAGATGTAGTACACACTGGTGCTTTTCAATCATGACTGATCTCTGCAGTTACTATGGTTAAATTGGACAAACAGTTCTGTGTGGACCTATAAAGACAGCAGTTTTCTTGCATGGAAAGAATCTTGATTTTTTGATGTTTTGAATGAATTTCTTTTCAGTGATTCAAATGAAAACCAAATCGCAATTCTTCCTAATTATCAAGTTACTTTTAAATGAATACACCAAATAAATACAAAAGAAGCGTCCTCTTAACATCTTAAACACTGACAATTAAAACACATCATTGTGGCCGTGCATTGCAGGGATAAATCACGTCTAATTTCACCTACAGAGAGATGAAGTCTTTCTGCACCAGGATGGCAGAGACTCCACAAAGTTTCCACAGGATGTGGTGGTGCGCCCAGTCCAACAAAACATCGAGAACCCCCGTCCAGAGCTGACCCGATGTTGACAGGGTCCGAGAAGTGCCATCACTAAAGCGACTCAGTCTCCAGGGCCGGTGGGTCAGGGCCGTGACCACGTTGGGGTCAGTCTGACGCATCTGTGGATCAGAAGAGGTCCGAGGTCAACAAAAAGCTGTCTTATTAGAAATTAGAAGCAGGCCCTCGCATTGTCTTAGATTATTTATGTGACAAACACTTTCAGTCAGTGGGTGTTGTCATTGCTCCTTTTACATACATGCAGACACGGACTCAGACAAAATTGATTTTGCATTCGTACAATGTTGTTAAGTTGGAAACATTGGAAATATAATTTCCTCTAAAGAGTAAAATAACTGTCCAAAGATGATGATTAGAATTTGTGTTCATTATTCATAATTTTTGTTACCTTGTAGATAACTTTGGGCTCCAAGGACGAAACAACACTGGAATTGTAAAGGGCAGGGAACTTCTTGTAAATCTCATGAAGCACTGATGCTGCCTGGAAAAGAGGAAAACATATTAATATTCCATAAAAATGGGGGAAATGACCAAGAGAACAAGAGAACATTGTGTAACTGTGATTATATGAAGAGGCTACTGGAAATTGTGTTTCCTAATAGAGTCAAAGCTCAAAAATGGAAGTATCCTGAGTGTTTCTGAGACTGGTTGTACTTTGTACAAACAGACAGCTGTAACTTAAATGTTTCTGATCACTGCATTGAGCGTGTCTTCATGTAATTAGTCTTATCCATGTCATCATTTCAAAAGCAACTGCATATTTGTTGAAATTGTTCAGTTTGTGAAAGGTGCTCCACATACACTGTATACATATACATATACATATACATATACATAGTGTACATAGACATACACATCTAAATAAATACAGGAAAAAGGAGTTAGGGTGCAATAGTTCATCATCATATGCATCATTTTAACATAGTTCAAACATTTCATCTGTCTTTTTTATAGGAAAAAATGTTACCTCTTTTATATATCAGTATATAATAAATATACTATGTCAGTATACTTAGCACCTTATCGGGTTGACCTTTAACATCAAAGAATATGGTCAGCTGGTGTCTTATGCATTCCTCCACGGCCTCCTGCAGAGTCGGGACTTTCTCTCCACTGAACTTGACCCTGGAGATGAGAGAAACCACAGCAGTTTTGGAAGTTGATACTGAGATGATACAGTATTCATCATGCATCAGCATCACACATTCAAGTCTGTTTATCTTGTTCCCTTCTTTGAAGTCTTTGAAAACCAAGTAGGAAGAAAAGATTTTTTCCCTCAAACCACTCTGATGAAAAATAACAAAAGAGGCAAATATTCTCATATGTATAAAATTAAGTGAGATTTACAAACAAATAAGATAAGAGGGAAAATCTTTACAAAGTGACATATTTGCAAAGGGTGAGGGTTCACTGAAAAATAGCCTTTTAGCAACTCAACACAACTTTTTTTTTTTTTTTTCTTTAAATCAAGAACATCCTCACAGAGGATTTCCAATCCTATTTCATGGACACACTGTCCTTAGTTTCCTTATCAGAGCATGAAATCACAAGTTTAAGCAAACTGAAGGGACTGTTTGAGAGGAAGCATACTTCAGCCTGTGATGAGCAGCAGCATCTAATCTCCTTAGTTGGACAATTTGAAGTTTGTTAACTGGTCCAGAGCCGTTGGTGGTGCGGTCAACAGTCTCGTCATGCATCAGTACCGGCACGCCGTCGGCTGTGAAACTCAGGTCCAGCTCCACTCCGGTTGCCCCGTTCCTACTGGCCTAAAACATTAGATCACCAGGTGGAAAAGAAGACAAAAAGACAGAAAGACATCTTGGCAAAATGGAAATGAATAGGAAGTTTTTTTCATGGGGGCTTCAAACAATGGGAGCCTACAAAAGTCAGAAAGTGTGACACAGTGGCTCAGTGCTGTCATTTAACAGTAAGGATATACCCACCGTTTCAGAGTGACAGAGACATGCAGAGTACAGCTGATGTAAACAGATGACTAAACTAACTATAGATGCCGACATTCTGTGTAGCAAGGAAGATAAAGAGGGTGAAGATAATCAATTAATTAAAATTGGGCGTGTTGATCTACAGGGTGGCTGCTCCAGTTTTTGGCAAAGACAACAAAAGATTATTCGACTTTTCTTCCTTATGAGGACACAAAGCCTCAGTAATGTATGAGCCTAGCTCTTTCTAGCCCTGGCCTTTTATAGGAAATGATCAGAAGAATTTTTCCATGTTTGACTGGCAGTCAGTGGTAGAGGAAACAGTATCTAGTTGTTACCAAAAGCAGAATGTTCTCAGATGCCAGGTTAGATTAGACAGGCTATGAAAAGATTTACTCTGGAGATGAACATGAATAAAGCATGAGTAAATATTCCAAAATAATCAAAACAAAACATATTGGCTCTAGTGGGGTTTCTTAGCTGGATAACAAAGACTGAGTGACATGTTAATCAAAATATAATTTGTCAAAAGTGACACCTGGAGGACTGTGAATTGCACACCACAGGAACAAAAAAGTCCCACATTTTGCACAGATGCTGGTCTCACCCAGTGACTGATCAGACATGCAGCAGAGAAAAATGTGTGTGGTCCAGTGCTTATGAAAGCACCTTAAATTACCAAAGTAAAAAAAACTAAAGAGCTTTTCTCATAACCATGAGATAATATACCATAGACTAATGGAACACATACTTTTGTAATATTTTAGGCAACTTTGTGAATCATTATCACAGTTTCCACCTGCAATTGGTTCGGCTATATCCCAGACATTTTCAAAGGGATACATGATCCTGATCTCTTAATCATGTGATAGATAGTGAGTCACAATTACGAGATAAGGTCTTCAATTATTTTTTCTTTGTGTGGTTCTGTAGATAACATCTACAGCTTTCAAAAAAAAAAAAAAAAAGGAAAAAATAAACACTGTAGAGTCTCAAATTCAAGTCACTGACTGATTCAAGAACAGACTCCTCTCTGCATGTCTGAAGGGTGAACATAACTGTCACCAGAAAATGAAAATGCTTTTTGGTGATTACCCAGACATACTTGTCTATGGTCAGTAATGTCAAAGACAGCATCAGCATCACTCCTCAGCATCAGCATAGTTAGGGTGTCCTTATTGACTGAAGAGAAAAGTGTTTACAAAAGCCATGTCCTCCATCACATGCCATAGTCGCTTAGAAAGGGAGGTTATCTATTTTTTTGTAATAGGAGGCTGAACAATAGCTTGTTGGAATAAAAGAAACTCATCCAGGGGGTGAAGGCACTGGTCAGATGAGAGGTATGACCCCAGAGAGCTTGGTTAGAATAATGTAGGCATGTGGGACACTCTTCAAGCAGCAGCTGATGTACAAAAACAGAAACTGTGAGGGAAGGGAGGGTTTACAAGCCTGTGAGTCAAGAGTTATGCAACTGTAGACTTCATCAAGAAGGTGGCATCAATTTATGGACAACTCATATTATAGAAAAGGCTCTGCAGCACAATGAGCCACTGATCTGCAAAGGCTGATACAAACCTGTCTTACATTATTAGCTTCCCTGGCCATTTAGAATAGTGGATGTGGTGCTCTGCTTACACTGCAAAATAGCAGGGAAGTCACGACATGCAAATACTATCAATGTATTTATCATCAAAGAAAAATCCCTCATGCATTTGCCGTAATATTTCATTAGGGCATCTCTTGCAAGTGTAGAGCTCTAGATCCCTACAGAAACTAAATATAGGCTGTCATTTAATTCAGCGCTAAATATCTGCAGCCTGCATGTCTATAACCTTATTTTTTCGCTCTATAGTACAAGGCCCATGCACAGCTCAACATCCCCATCAGAACAGGTGACTAATGCATGTCAGTCTGACTTCTCTGATCGCTGCCAAGGTGTTCTCCGGAGCGTCGTGGCTCCCTCCGCGGTGCGCCACCACAGGGACGCCGCCTGAAGGAGCCCTGGGCCGCAGGACGCGGCCGGCCTGGTCTGCTGGCACCGGAGGGAACCGGAACATCACCATGAAGACATAGAGGACTGCGGTGAGGAGGGAGGCCGCGGTAGCGCTCCTTGTCGCCAACACCACCAGCAGAAACACCGCCGAGAAGTACACCACCTCATCTCCGATCTGCAGCATGGCGGAAGGAGGGCGGGATAATTATCTTATGGCACGAGCGGACGGGAGGATGAAAGAGGCGTTGTTCAGAGAGATGGCTTGGATGGAGCTCTGCTGTCAGCAGCACGGTGGTGACTACATGTTGGTGGGTCCGAGAGTAGATCACACACAGATGGCCGAGAATCAGCACTTCTCACTTTGTGGTTGAGCAGAGGACGGATGGGAGAAGGGAGGAGAGGGAGCGTCGCTGCTATCGTCAATGTCAAGTGTAAAAGGAAAAAAAAAAAAAAAACTAGAAATATATTAAAAAATTATAAAAAATACATTTCGCTATGTGTTTAAATTCAGCATATAGCGCTGACGTGACCTGCTTAATGAGACCTGAATAAAAGTGCTATTTTGGCTTACAAAATATACAACATTTAAACATGGTTTCATTCCGTAGAGTCTATTTAAAAGATTGTGATTTATTTTTATGTGATTTGTATTAACACATCTCAATAGGTCAGTCTTTTTAACAAAATATATATAAAAAAACACTTTTATTTTGAAGCCAAAATCACAGAGCCAGCTCATCTCAGACTCAGCACCATCTGGAGGCTGGGATGTTGAGAGTTTGGTTACAGGAAAGCATAAGAGATCTGATGAGGATTTCATTAAAATATGTAAACACAACCACAGTGCATCATATATCAGTTTGTTTTCATTAAACTTCAGAACAAAAATCATAAAATGCAATGGATGCAGAAAAAAGATATCCTTGAACAAATGAAGTAAAGGAGAGATTCTGCATTAAAATACATACTGAAAAGTTAACCTAAAAACTGAAAGTTCAGTCATTTGAAAGAGTAAAAACTCCACTGAATTTAAGGCCAGCAGCTAAATAATGACTGACTTTCATTTTAAGTGAAAACATACTTCATTAAATTATTATAAAACCGGCTTTGATGAACAAAAAGTGACTGTTCTCTGAATGAAGGCACAAACTTCGGTGTGTGTTTGTCTTGTATGAGTTTCACGTCACTCAGGACAGTCTGCTGTAGTCTCTGTGGGCAGGGAGCTGATGTGCTGGAGCAGCTGGTCGCAGTAGAGAGGACACCGCTGTTTGTCTCTCACAGCCTCCACCTCCCTCTTCAGAAGCACCGGGTGAACCAAGCTGCCTTTCTTCAGGATCTCTGGACACACACACACACACACACACACACACGAGTCAGTACTCAGGATATGAGATGGTAGGTGGACACAGTCAAATAAAGGGGAATATTAAATTTAAAAAAAAAAAAAACAAACGTGTGAAAATTAACAGCTTCCTAATATCTTATTGTTCTAACTAAGGTACAATTCCTGCATTTAAAACAACAAAATGTCCTTTAAGTGTCAAAAGTTAAAGAAATCATTAAGCAGCAGAAAAGCCTCTGCCTGTGTTATTATTATTATATATTACAGTAGTGGATTATTATTACTGAATGATTACTGTGAAAGCAGCCTTTTCATGGTGTTGCTGGAGGAGGTGTACTGTTAACTACTTCATTCACCGTTTATCTACTTTAAGATGTAACTACACATCAGATTTTATAGACTGACTGTTTTGGATCTAAAACCTGCATCTCAAAAGTAACCAGCAGTTATAACTGTCAAATACATGTAGAGGAGTAAATTATGCAATAGTCCCCTCTGAAATGGGTAGAAGTATAAAGAAGCATCCATTTAAATATTCAAATACAACTTTGGGGTACTTGTGCTTAACTTAAGTTCAGTACTGGAGTAAATGTAATTGTAGTTATATTCCACCACTGAGGAAGACTTAAGATCAACTTAAAACTTAAGTTTGGAAGGATGTGATCTTCCATGTATTTCATTATTTAGTCATACCTGCCCTGACTGCATATGAGCTACTTAGTTTCTAACTTGGGTTTAAGTCAGATACTGATTTGGTGTTTTCTATGTCAGAACAGCAGCAGATGGCAGTGATGAACTACAGTATATCCACTCCGCCATCCAAATGTGCAAGTGCCCTTTTCGTCCACAGGGAGGCGATAATTCTCTTTTCAAATCCTTTCTTCCCACCATTCCCTGCTGATTTTCAGAGGTATATAGAATTACTTGAGTTGCTGTCAACTACATAAATGCTTTGGAAACCACAATGAAAAAGTGCTGTTCCAGTGGTGACATGCCGTCACTCTGGATGAGTTAGCTCATGTAAACTCATCATCTGATACCTGCCTTTGTTCTTCAAGGAGACAGAGGGGATTTTTAGCTTTTGTGTATACTGTACTCGGCTGGGATGGAGGAAGGGGAGGTGGGACACTGAATTATAGGAGAACAATGATGACTTGTGAGAAATGAGTTATGCCCGTGCCAACAGTCTGTGTGATTGAGCAGGTAGCAGCCGTGCTGCCAGGACTGTGGGATTATCAGGGTGGAGGACTGAAAGAGTGATAGAAGAAGAGATGAGATGGAGGGGGGGGTGGCGGTGCTGTCCATCATGCTGTCAGGACATGCTGCATACATCAAGCCACAACACAGATATGCGTTTGAAATCCAAGAAGCATAAGAATGGGATCAACTATTAAAGGAACAAAGAGAAAGAAATAGAAGAGAGAGAGTGGGAGGAAAAGAAGAAAGCTTCAAACAGGGCCGTCAGGATTGCTTCCACATTTGTGGCGCAGGCGGTTATGGGTGCTGTCAGATACAGACGATCACTCAGCATGATGTGAGGTCATCTCATTTCACAAAGAGACTCCGAGCTGTCTACCAGTCAATTGCACTTCATGGGGATCACAGTTTGAAAATCTGGGCTACACACAATGGCTCATATTTGTATCTTTACACTGTATAGGCCATATATGATGACACACTATGTACAGCTGACAAACATGTATAATGCACTTCTGTCGTTACTGATACATCACCAACATTTTCAGATTTGATAATGAGGATGTTGAAAAAAAAAAAAAAAATCATTTCTATTCATTACTCTCCCTCAACAATATAAACGTAGCTCATTGGTTTTGAAGGTTAAAACTGCTAAACTTGTTGACTAAGGTATAGAGTTAGCTTTGTAAAGGATAAGGAAATATTCTTGATTGTAAATACTGAATATTTCTGTTACTGTCAACAAACAATAATGTGTTTTTTTTTTTTTAAAAAGGGGTAAAGAAGTGTAAATTGTGCATTTCTCGTTGACTATTTACAGCGGTGGATTAATCGGCATTTTAAGCTCTAGTAAGTATTTACAGCAACGGGACAGTGTATGTGAGATTGACTCAAAATAGATGACAGTGTTCATGTTCATCACAATGGAGAAATATATCCAGTATCCCAGTGCACCAGTGTGGCTCAGTGATGTGTTCTTAACATTTTTTGAGCATCAATGGAGGTAAAGAGGAGTAAGATATATCAGGCTTTGGCTACACAGACAATAATTGTTAGTAGTGTCAATTCAGTGTTGGTCTTTTCATTGGATTTGTTGGCAGTAAGAACTAGAATTAGCGCCTTGTGGTTGTATGCCTCCGCCACTCAGACTAGTGTCAGGTTTACATCCCTGTTTATCCAGAGTCATAAAAAATATGAACCATTTGTGTGAAATCTTGTCATAATTGCTGTGTGAAGTCGTGAGTTATGGCTAAAAAGGTGTTTTGTGAGGTCACCGTGACCTTGTCTTTTGACCACCATCAGATCAGTCCATCCTTGAGTCCAAGTAAATGTTTGTTACAAATTTGAGGAAGTTCCGTCAATGTGTTACTGAGATATTGCGTTCATCGCGAGAATGGGACTGACAACCCGAAACAATATGCTCTGGCTGTCGCCGCCATCGAGGCATAAAATATAAATTATCAACAGACTTATCCTTTAACAAGTATCAGCTTTGGTGGGTAACTAATTGCCAGAGCGTCAGTTAAAGAGAAATCAATGCAGCGTATCCAGCATAGCTTCAGACAGCAAAGAAATTCTCCAAAATCGTTCCTTTCATGTTCAAACTTTAACATACTCTGTGACAGTATAGTTTTTCAAAGAGAATCCTTAAACCACACATGCACAGACATGACAGGAAATCACTCAGCTACAAGAAATACAGACGTACAGTATGAGGGTGAAGGCCGGTTTATAAAGTTGATTTATATGTGTTATTCTGCCTTCTGCAGTCAAGGTTACAGTCACTTGATAACCATTGGCAACAACAAAACTGCTTATCATCCTTACATGTCTTTCAAAAGCTATCTGGCAGAGCTAGAATTCATGGTATGGAAGCTATCGCTGCATCTGGTGAGTGTGTGAATGCCTTCTTTTTCTCCCCCCTCTGTCTCGCTGTATGAAAATGAGAGATCCAGTAGTGAGGCCTCTCATCGCTGGCTAAGGCATCAGCGCTCACCTGTGTCCTGTCAGAAGTAATGACAGCTAACATCCATGAGAGTGGGAGAGAGTGAAAGTCCAGAGGAGCTGAGTCTCGGTTACGCACTTCAGGAGAAGCCACTCAGACTTTCCACTGACACATGAATAAAACACAGCCGTGAAGCTACGGGCCATCACAGAAAACACTGGGTATGAGAGGAGGAAGAGAGATGGACAGATAAAAGACGGCGGGATTAGCCGGGAATGGGCGTGAGGACAGATGTGAGAAGGTTGTGAGGAGAAGGGGGGGGGGGTCCCCATGTGGTTGCCATTAGTTGGGACCATTGTGTATGGGGGGGGGGTGTTCCTGGGTGGAGAGGCAGAGATTTGGTGTATTGGAGGGGGAATTATACAGATATTAACCAGTGTCTCTCTCAGGTGGGCGCTTATTCTTATCTGGATCTTGTGTTTCACTCTTTAGGGCCACCTCCAGGCTAGCCCTGAAGGGACTTACTCTGGCAGGAGGAATTCAGCTGCTCTTGGTGATGAATTGTGTGGAAAAGAAGGGTAATGGGGAGCTTTTGAAATAAAGGAGAAGGGGAATCTGTTGGCAGCATGCCAGTAAAATAACCTAGTCCCAGACACAGCAGGCTGGTCTGCAGATCATCATATCTAAACTCTGCTATCATCGCTGCCTCACATTCACTATTATCAGCTTTGCTATCTGTATCAGCTAAATATGTGTATCAAATTGTTAAGGTCAGAAGTTCCAGATCACATCATTTCAAGTCAGATACAGTATGCGAGCTTGAGGATGTTTCACATTATGCATCCCATTGTTATATTCACAATCTTTCCTTAAGTGGTATCAAGGTCTGTCAACAATTCACTAAAGGCCAACAAGAAAAAAAGTTTGCTATGTTTTGTCAAGAGTTATGGTCACGATTAACAGCGAAGAGTTAAGGGAAACGCTATGATACATTCCATGTGGACCAAAAAATATTTTTGTCCACATTTCAAAGATCCAGACTAATTATTCATTTCTGCACCCACTTCAACAGATCATTATCAGCACATGTGCACATCTTCCCTTTCCATCAACAAGCTATCAACACTCCCCCCTCATTGTTGAGGTCGCTGTTTGAAAACACCCCACCCAGTCTCACCGAGCACTTGCTCCTGCACCGAGGCATCGGGATCATCCAGGTGCAGGAGGAGCTGCTGGAAGAGGAGCTGCAGATGAGGAGCCCAGAGCTCAGGGTTGTAGTCTTTGGTCAGGTTGGACAGCCAATGCCCAAGGGCCTGCAGAGCAACGCTGCGCACCTCCTCGCTGCTGTCGTCCAGACGTTTCAGCAGCTCTGTTGAGGAAAGACACACACGAAATATAGATTCACAGGATTGAGAAATAAAAAATTCTAAAATATTTCAGTCGTTGAATGGGTTAGCTACTTTCATCCCCATAATTATCATGTTTAGAGGAGTTTTGAGGATCAATTTCCTATTACTACACTTTTGGTATGTGAGATACACAATTATCCTGAATGAAAACAGATATTTTAAATCAAGTAAAATGTTTCCCCATGCATTAATTAAAGCTAAAACTGTGACATGATTATAGAGAATTAATTGCAATGCATTCATGTGAAGTGTGACAGAATGCAGTCAACTAATTTCTGTGTGTGTGTTTGTCATTTACCAGGGTAGATCTTGTTGAGGGCCTCAGGGTGCAGACTGGTTCCGATGAGTCTGAGAATGGTAGATACAGAACGACAAGCCAACAGTCTGCTCATCTGAGAGTCCTCTTCCAGGGCCGACAACACATGGGGACTCAGCTTCTCCTCCAGACACAGCAGCTGCACACAGAAAAGGCAAGAGAAGCATACTCAGCTTTTAAATGTTAGATGATAAGATCAAAGTCTGCCCAACTGTTTCATACAATACATCACTAAAAGGAGAAATCTGGTCTCTAGTTTACAAAGTCAGAAAGTTTGTCATTTTCCATTTAGATGTCCACAATGGTAAAGAATGCACTCCTCTATTAGAGGGCTGCATTGTCAGGACCACTTATTCTAATGTCTAAAATCCTTTCTAAAATGTTTGCTTCCAATTGTTTTACAAACCTTACTGTAGTTTAGTCTTAGAGTTATTGACAATGATAAAAGGAAAAACAAGGCTGGTTAGTGAAAGTGACAACACACGCTTAAAGAATATTTTACACACTTTTCTTCAATAATTTTTTTTTAATTTTTTTTTTTAACTCAAGTGAAATATCACCTGAAAGCATGACAGATTCACATCAGGTCTGGATTAGTTTGTACAGACACATGGGCACAGAGCCCATCTTCAGAAGTCCAGTGAGGACCAATGTTTTCATCACACCAACAGATGAGAAACAGAGGAAATGGACAAACAAGGTGAGGCTGAGCGCCACGAGCCATGGGGCCAAGAGGTGATGGCTAAAACCTCTGTCACCCCGTCTGTTTGCTATCGAAACCATGCTGGCGAAACAGTAAAGAAAAAAAAAACTGTGAGGGGAGAAAGAGAGGCAAGGAGACATAAAGAGGAGGAAAATTTGGCAGAGGAGTGATCCGGCATTACATCAGTGACAATGTGAGGATGCCAAATGTAATTGGAGCTGCTAATTGTTTTCACAGGGAGCAGTGAGGAAACAATGTCCTTCTGAACGAAAGGCTGTTTGATTTGCTCGTGGAAATAACCTTCTGTTGTTATACCAGTCAGGACATGTTTATTTCATCTCAACTGGAACCTCATTTCTAACCTAAGAGCCCAGAGTAACACGGTCCTATTTAATCACCACTTTTCCACGTTTTCTATTCTTGTGAGGACGTTTGGGTGCCATTTGATAGTAAAAGTTTGATCACACACCTACACCCACACACCCACACCCAAGCTCACATTGTCCCCCAGCTGTTTGCTTTGCCTTGTAGTTAAAGACGTGTGAACAGAGGAGGTGTGTGAGCCAGTTCCAATTGGTCACTCAGCACACGCGAGGGCAAACACAGCCAGATGTGTGCATGTGAGCACACATACTGTAACTGGGCACATGCTCCGACAGGCAGGTGCAAGGGCATGTCCCAGTGATAGTTCCTACGTATAACAAGGGCCCAGAACACTGGACGCATTGTTCCTCAGGGACAAAGGTATGTGAACCCGCTTGCCCCCACGTACACCTGCTACCTCCTGCGGCCAACTCTTTCAGCCAAGAAGAGAAAGATGGCCGATAATATATTTTCCTAAATGGCCGAGTGGGACCGTCTATTTTGTTGTGAAATGGATAAAACAGAGACTTTGAAGTAAATGTCAATTCCTGATGGATTAGAAGAATGCACTACCACTTCTTTTCCTTTACAGCCGAGTCAATAAAAAAGTGTTTCTGCAGAGTAGAGATCAGGAGTACGCACTACTGGAGGAGGTTCACATCCGGTGTTTGCCTCCAATAATTATGAGTCCCTTTGCACAGGTGGAAGTAGATGTAACCAGTGTATCATACATGCCTTTGTGCAGGTAGATGTATTAGTAGATGTCATCTCTGCAGAGTTGGTGTGTGTGTGTGTGTGTGTGTGTGTGTGTGTGTGTGTGTGTGTGTGTGTGTGAGAGCGTACCTGTCCAGGTGTGATGGCCCCTCCATGCAGCAGTGCCAACAGACAGCTGAGGGCTGAGGTGCGGACGGCAGCAGCAGTGCGGCCTGCGTGCCACACAAGATTAGGAAGCAGGACGTCACACAGGAACTTCTCGGACTCACCACTGAAATGCCTGGAAGAATGCAGAGAGTAAGAACACGGAGACACGACAGAGAAACACATTTCTATTGCTTCATGTGGTAACTAGCGAGCCACCGTGAGGATGAGTGAATGATGATGGCGGTTGGGAATGGAACGTGGCTGCTCGATTCATAAACAACTGCAACACAATGCTTTTACTGCAGTCATTTTCCCACACTCTTGCTAAGACGGGCAGACGGGTGGTTGGGCAGTAGAGGAGAAGTGGGAGGCGAGGAGTACAACATCTGGGTGTCCTCTGTTCCCTTCTCCCTCTCTTTCCCATGCTGGCTTAGGCCCTCCGACATCCTCACACACACTACCAGAGTCTGCAAAGCTCTTTGCTCCAATCCAACTCCACAAGCTCTGGTTGCTGCCTCTAGCCTCTGTCTGTTCAGCTGGTGTCACAATAAATTTGTCATGCATTTGATAAAGTGTGCTATAATGTTTCAAGGCCAGCAGGGGGAGACGGTGTGCCACTAATACAGCCCGGTCTGTGCTGCTGCGTAAACTAAGTGTCTTCCTCCTGACAGGTGTTGAAAGCTCATCAAGAATGACGGCAGACGATGGAAAGACATATTTCCACATTACAGGGATGATGTCCAAGGGAAAGAAGACTAGGAGGTTTTTACCTTTCACTTGGATGTCTCTGCACACACACAAGTGCCAGGGAAATTTGACTGTACATCTCATGGGTCTCTACACAGTGGAGCTGCCTGTGCTTCTGTAATGGTCACAAAGCAGCTGTAGAGCAAACAACTCTCCCTCACAGCAGAAAATCGACATCTTAACAAGCGACCGAGTTTGCCATCAAGTAGGACTGGGCAGTCATTCAGTAAAATAGATTTTCAGATTTCAGCAAAATCATTGAATGATGGTATCATATACTTGTTCTAGACATATCTGTTATCCAAATAACTTCATACAAATTCCTTTTCATACAAATGAGTTGTTTCAGTTTGTGTCTGACACATTCAGAGAATTTGGTATCATGTGTTGCATAATACTGGAACACAGTTCATTATTCTTTGTGTGATTTTGCATACATTTGACATATCGTGATATATATTGGTATTGGAGATATCCATATTATTACTGTGATAATGTAAATTATATTACCCATTCCCTCGTCAGGTTTTAAAATCTTAATTTCTTAAAACTGAGTTTCAGGAATTTTGTAAAATATGTAACTGAATAAAGTGTTATTTTTGATACATGCACAGTTGAATCTCCTTCATTTTGTCTTGTTTCATGTTACTGACATGCATTATAGACAATCTGCAGAATCTAGGAAAGTCCTGGCAGAAGGAAAACCCCATTTGGAATAAGAGGACCATCTCACCCAGAGCAGCAGTTTTGTTTGATGTCTTGAAAGCTGAAATTAACACTCAAGAGAGATGTCTTCTGCCGTTCACACATGCATGAAAATACACACTCTTATCTCACTTGGAAGTGGCACATGAGTTTGGCCTGCCACATCCAGGGAGAAGAAGTATGAATTTTCATTTGTCACACATCACCTTCTACTTAAATTTCACATCCAGCTTTTTGATCACCGCACACAAATCCACATGAAACAAAAACATTATGTGCGTGTGTGGATGAAAGACACTACCATGCACAAAAACATACTTTCCCTTTCTACTTGTTGTGTAGTGGAGCTGTCATTAAGTCATTTTGGTTGTAGAACAAAGAGAAGAGGTTTTCTCTATGACTATCATTGTCCTCTTGATGACATACAGCATGTGCGTGTGGGCTACAATCTCCTGAGCAAAGATCAGGCCATAAATCATGAATGGAGGGATGAGATGAGTATGAATGGAAATATTATGGCAGACCGCACAGCTCCACATAGTGTAAGTTAAGCATTTGTTTGAAACCTTTTGAAGGTGTAACATGATTTGTGTCTCCTGATGGTTCTGTGATTACCAAAGATACAGCTCAGGAAAGAGAGACGCAGTTAGCAGCACAGGTGGCCACGGGGAAGAGACAGAGGCTTCTTTTGTCTAATATTCACATCTATGGATAAAATAATCTGATGAAAGCTGAAAGCAAAGTTCCAATTTCCACGTTTTTGGCAAAGGAGGCAGAATATTTTGGCTTAAGAACACTTCCCGTTGTTTATGCAACATATTTCACTGACAAGGAGATCATTTAGTCTTGTATTCTTTACATTGTTGCCAGGTCCAGGCCAAAGGCACTTTCAACATCCTCCCATACAAAGATTAGCAGTTTATCCCCTTGATTATCCAGTGGAAACACCTACCATCCCGTACAGACCTTTTGGCTGTAGGGTTAGGGTTAGTGACATGCTGCGCAGATGTCTCTATGGCAACCCCATTGACAAGGTTTGTCTTTCTGATCGACAGGAACAGCTGCTGCGATCACCGTGACCCGGGATGGGCCTCAGGCTTAATGCATTCCCTCAGATTAGAGCTCTGAGCCCCAGGCTGAAGGCTGCACAGCTGAGGACTCGGAAGGGACCGTGGAGGGTGGGGTGGGGGGGCGTCACAGAGGGGAAGAATCCACAAACAGGAGCTTCTCTCTAGGTGTCAGGCAACCCTCCAATCCTACTTCCGTCATCAGTCAATAATCATTTAAATTACTGACGAGACATTCAGACAGCATGTGCCATCTTCTTCTTCAGGCATGCTGGGAAGGGATTCATTTGAGTCAGTCTATGTGATACTCCCTAAGAGACTAATTCAAGTCTAGTGGGACCCCCTATAGTCACTTCTGGACTACCGTTAACTCTATCACGCCTGGATACAACCCTATCGTGCACTACATGACTATCTGAATAAACCGCAGGTCCAAAAGAAACTGAGAGGGTTATAACAGCCTCATGGAAATAGACCATTTTGTGTGTTTATGGTTCCTTGTGGGTGTGGCACTAATTTGCAGGTTAATGTGAAGCAAAGTCTAAAAATCACAAGCCATGATAATAATGATGACTTGGAAAACTCAGACTAGACAAACCCAAACAACTGAGTGCAACATCACACAATAATGAAAAGGTGCAAAATTAACCAGCAATTCAGCATGCCGTGTGTGTGTGCCTTTGTTCAACGGAAAACGTGCAACTTTTCATTAACCTACTAAAGAAACATTTCCTTCCAAAATTTGTTTCATGAGTTACCTTGATCTGTGTGTGTGTATTTCTATGTGAATGTGTGCGTGCGTCCCTCTCACCCCTGGGAATCCAGTGTGTTGGCTGCGTCCAGTAGCAACTTGGCAAGCATCGTGAAGGTGCTCATTCTCATTTCTGGGTCTTTGTCTGGTTGGAGGCAGCTCCGGAGCAGGAGCATCAGCTGGCTCACAAACTCCCCTATCACTGGACCTGCAACACATACACAAACACACACATATGTCTGTGTTGATACTGTAATGCTCCATCTGCTGAAATCAACAGTCAATTGACTTCAATACATTCTCATTTTCAGCCTTCCCACTAAATACTTGACCTATCCTTACAATCTCTAGTGTGTCTTTTTTAGAGAGAAGGCGTTTTTCATTCTGCCTTTTAATTCTTAATTTTTTTCTTTGTCAGGACCAAATGTCAAATGGCAAACAAGAAAAAGCCTACATGAACCGAAGACCTTCTTTTGTGTTAAGCACTGACCAGAGGGCTTGTGTTATTGAGAACTCGACTGAGTGGTGAGACAGTGACACAGAGCTCTGAGGAAATGAGGCATAAAAAGGTCTTTGTGTGACAGAGTGTTTCTATACAAGTGTCTATTACAGGAAAATGAGAAACTTGCAGTGCAAGTGTTCCCAGTTACACTGATGCCCACACACACACACACACCCACCAACAGTCTGACTGCATGTTTACAGAGCTATATATAGTTATCTGTGTGTGTGTGTAACCAGTGATAAGTGCCCATGCCCTGTTTGGACTCAATTGTACAGACATGAGAGTAGACGGAGGAAATCCTGCAACTGCCCGAGGGTGGCGGCCAACGTCATAAAGAGATATGGGAAAACAGAAAGAAAGCGAGAGAGAGAGAGAGAGAGACATACTTCATCCAGGGGGAATGCGTGAATCAAAGGGTGTGTCATTTAATCAGGGGTGTTGGAGGAGACGTCTGCAGGTCATCTCTCAGTGACTTCAGATATGACAAGACAGCGATAGGAGATTTCACTACACTAATAGACAAACACACTTTTCATTAATGCTTAGAAACACTGTCGACGTGTATCCTGTCCTTGGGCAAGGCTCTAAGACCTACCACAGAGAAAGAGAGAGTGGGAGATTGTGCCAATCTACACACAAAGGATCAGACAGTCTCACACCAGCTGAAGAACAAAAGACTGCGAGGAGGATATGAGAGAGCAATAATTATTCCTGTCTCCAACAAACACAGATGGAGTGTGTGAAGAGCTGATGAGCAAGCAAAATGACCAATTCTCATTGTCATTTTAACTACCGTCAATTGTTCAGCACAGGACCGATTTCCCTGAGTCATGTGCACATCAAACGCAATGTCCACACGCTGTCTGTTTTGCTGCAAGTAATAAAGTCCTAGGGCTGTGTTAATAGACCAAAGATCCCATCTGAAAGAACTAGAATGACTGCCTCGTGGTTGTGGGCCTCTGCCAACCATTCCAGTTGCAGTTTATATGCATGTTTGTGCAGACTCAGATAATATACTATATGTGGTGCTTGGCTTGACTTTGTTAAGCTTTGTTGTTCTTGTTCTACTGTATGTCTATTAGTGTGCAGGTTCATTAAAAGTCAAATTCCCTGTATGTCTTCACATGCTTGGCCAATAAAGCTGAGTCAGTAGACAATTCTTCAAATATGGATGTTGCTGCAAAGAAGCTACAAATTCTATAACATGGATGCTTCACTCACATCTGAACAATGGCCAGAAAATTGCTTTTGCAGAACATGATGTCACAGCGAAGTTGACCTTTAGCATGTGAATTCTTGAGTTCTGTTCACAGCGACCTTGACATTTGACCTTTGACCACCAAATTCTAATGAGTTCATCCAGGTGTTACAGAGATATGACATTCATGAGAGTGGGGTGGACACACGGACCATTGGCCACGGCTGTCGCCAGTGTAGAGGCATACTAAAACTTAGGAAGGCTTAGAGCAGCATTCAACATGCACAAATAAAACACACCCATACACATATGCTGACACACACGCACTGAGCTTCAAAGTGGCCTTGATCCTGGGGAAGGTCAAGAGCAGGCGGCTGTGGTGCTGTTTGATGTAGTGACCTGTATGGAGATGACTGAGTGGACTTAGACTGCACTGGTCAGTTAGCCGTGGGAGTGTGTGTGTGTGTGTATGTGTGTGTGTGTGTGTGTGTGTTTCTGTGTGTGAGGATTAGAGGGGTACCCAGCTGCCCAGTCAATTAGAAAGAGAGTGGAGGGAGGGAGAAAGAGGTGGAGATGAAAGTGTGGCACAGGGAGGTGCTGATGATGGAGGATTATATGGTATAGGGGGAGGTAAAGTAAAGTCTCAGCACCAAAGACAGGGTCACAGCTTTTTAACCCACTGCACCACACACACCCACAGGCACAGACTAACCCCTTTAGTCAAGTCTGAGACACACTGACTGACTGACAAACAGAGGGAGAGACAGGGATTTACAAAAGTCAGTAAGCCAACTGCTGCTAATGACAGCCATGTTTTTTTTTCCTGTGTGGGTGCGTTTGACCATGACCCTCTCTGCTTGGGTAACGAAAAATAATGAAAACTTTTTCCACTATGCTTCTGAGTGAGGGTCATTGATGGGCATCCTTTTTGGACAACAGAGTGGAACCCCACACATCCGTCAGTGCATCAAGCAATAAATCATACAGAATTGAACCTTAAACATTTGACAGACCTCACATCTGTCAAGCAGCATTGACACTTGCTCCAACCAGCACTGACACACGTGTCCAGGATTTGTTGCCTAATATTCACCTCAATAGTTCACCTCAGGAGCAGTCTGGGACTATAAAAAAAAAAATACGGATGAGGAGGACGCTGGCCTGTTTTTGTGAGTGCGACTGCATGAAAGAGATATATCCGGACACATTTCAAACTATTTTAATAAACTATGAGGAGCCTTTGTGCAAGACTGAATTCGGGTTGCTGCTTTGACAGTTGCTGTACTTGCCGTGATGATGGATCATGTGCTAACAGGACCAACAGCTTGGCGCTTAAAATATGATGTAACATGTTGTGTCTGAACAAGTTCAGGAAAGAATGGCTTCACCAATCACACCATGAAGTAATGTTTAATAAAACATTACAAAGATTATAGTCTCACCGACATGCTGGGGTGAAACGGAGCCAAAAACCATGTTCAGATTGATGACTGATGCAGATATTTTCTTATCATTAATAAGGAATTTGACTGACCAATCTCTTAAAAACCACACTGTATTTCTTTGACCGTTATGGTGTCTCAATATGTGCAAACCTCAGCACCTGCGGTATGATTTGGCAATGTCTAGTGCACATTCAGGCTTCACTTCTCACCTGACTGTATGACTATGATATGCAGTTGGAGTCTCTGTGGGGAGTAACTGGACCAAGTGTTGACAGAGGCAGACAGCCAGTCCAGCAGCTGGCCCATATGTTGTCTATAGATCTCCATCACTGAGTCCAGGCCCTGCACCTTACACAAGCACTGTACACTCTGCAAGGCCTGAGGGAGAGAGGGATAGAGGGAACAAAATTATGTCAATTATACCACGTTTTGAAGCTGTAATTTTTATTTGAAATTATAAAGAATTTAGTCAAAAAAGACAAAGAAACATCAGGTGGGTGAAAGATTAAATGAAGAAATCTATGAGAGTAAGTGTTAACAACACTCTGTTTAAGTTGAACAATTACAGTTTCTTTCTTGTAATTTCAGGAATTCTTCAGGTCATGCTCACATGGGAGGCAGAAAACCATCATGTGAAACCACGGGAAGAACAACACTGCAGACATGACAAGGTCTCACACATAAAACCACTTAGAAACAAAAACCCTGACAAATATACAGGATGTCACAAAGGCACAGGAACCGACAGAAACGCGCACACGCACAGACACACATCAATGAAGCTGGGCTGAGAGGAAAGGGCAGGAATGAGAGATATGAGAGTAAATAATTAGGGCAGGGTAACAGACCTTTAGGGCACTTCATAGTTCCCTTCATAGTCCCTCAGGGATGGACAGGGACAGAGACAATGTCTGAGTCACAGATTGGGCCGTTCAGAAGAGAACTAGACAACCCTGAGCTGTCCACTGATGGGAAAGACGTGCCCCCTTCCTGGGAAAACAAGTTTGACTTTTCCTCTGGGTCCGGAAGTGCCCAAGGCCATTCTCACCCTCCCTCTCTTTCTTAATCCATTCCTTCCCATCTCTTCTCTAACACTGCTGCCTGTCTGAACATACACACAGATGCAGACAGACGTAAACACATGCACACACTGGTGGACCATGTGGTGTCTGGTAAGCATCAGTGCCAGTTCCTTCCCGCTCCTCTCCCTGTCATTAGCCTCCTATGGCGACAAGAAGTTAGGCGACACACTGGTCTCAGACACCAGTGGCTTCCCTTCTCAATTTTCCTGTTTGTCTCTTTGTATTTGGAGGCTGACCACAACATGAAAGCCTATCATGCATATCAGCTTGTTTTTGTGACCTGAGGAGGTGTAATGGGGTTGGGCTGATGACACACCTGCTCAGAAACACAGCTCATGTCTCCCTATGTTTTTTTTTTTCTCTATTTCTGTCTTGTCTTTCTCTTTCTCCACCTTTCACCCGCCTCCTTTAACCCAGGACTGGATTTAAAGTTCCACTCCAAAGGTGCAATTTCAGCTCCCCTGGCTAAGTGGGTAATTATACTGTTAGCCATGCCCACTTTGAACCTGTACAAATGCTTACATTCCTCGAACAGCTCTCTTGCTTCATAAAACCTGCTTACCTTTCTAATAAAAAAGGATGGAAAAAAGAAAATTGAAGGGGAAAGGGGTTAAAAGAAATATGCCATTTCAGAGTAGAATTATTGAAGAGTTACAAAGATGAGGTGACATGCTGGTTTTCCCACGGTGAACAAACTGATGGCAGAGCAGCAGAGAATATGAATCTGTATCTTCATACTACTAAGTTATGTTTTCTCACCTTTTCACTGAGATTTGCTTCAGTGGAGAGGCTCTGAACAGTGACCAGCACCTGCAGCAGCTGCAGGCTGACTGAGCCACAGTCTGACTCACACTGACACAGCAGCACATCCACACAGGCCAACAACTGTTCCAAGTACATAACCTGGGAAAAAGGGAGAGAGGAAGAAGTATTATGAGATTGTCTTGTCTGGTTTATGACAGATGTGACTCCTGTGAGACGGATTCAGTTTGTGTGCTCACTGCATCTTCCAATGAACCCCATTCCATTTCAGTCCTCACGATCCTCTTTTTCTGCCCCAGTCTCAGTCCCTCTCCACTTTCTCCCCCAAAGCACACCATGTCCTTATACACTCTTCAGTAACTCTAATCCCACTTTTTACCCAAATAACTCCTTCCTAATTGATGCAAGTATCCAAGTGACCATTTGTCTCTTATTTCATACAAAAACGACAAGAACAACAAGATACAATAACTCAAAGTCAGAACTCTGTTTCCATCTCTGAGAATGAGCGTGTGTGAGATTTCCATCACTTGTCAGCCAGTGTTGTGGTGAGCTCATGTTTAGACAAAGACCTGCGGCTCGGGCTAATTTCCATGCCATCACTGGGATCACGGCCTCTTTTCCTGTTTTCTCGCAGCCTGTCATTATAGCTGGTTGGGGGGGAGGTGACTTAAGAGCGTGTGTGTGTGTGTGTGTGTGTGAGCAAGAAATCCTCAATGTACACTTACATCTAAACATATTCTCCATCACTCGAAAAGCAGTCACTCAGATACCACAAACCAGAGCTCCATCACTAGGGGGCGCACTATCTTTTCCCAAATTTGAGTAGCTATTGTGCAGCACAGCTTGGCATTAGTCTGCAAGAAAAAACAAGTGCTAAGCCAAGTAAAGATGCTCAGAGCATTAAAAAAAAGCCAGGATTTGTGAGAAGGAATGGTCGCTAAGGGACTTCCAGTCTGTGAGACACATGAGCAAATGTTTTTATTTTGCAATGGAGTGCTGAGCACACAGTGGAAAAAAGTTTGTTACACATATCTTGAGTCCAGGGTGTTAGTTAAGTGTGTAAACACATTTTCATGAAGCAGTCTGAGGCTAAACTAAACTTTCATGCAGCTCTGAACAACCACGATTTGCCCTCATTTCTTCAGCTAACAAGGCTCAAAATACTTCCAAAGGGTTACAGCAGTGTGTTAATTCCCTACTTGTGTGAATATGTTCAAATAGTCATTGATGGGGGAAATCCCTGCCTGTGACCACTGGCACATAAACACAGCAGGAGCTCAAGGGAGGCGGTCGTGGAAAAAACATAACAAACACATTAGCGTACACACATACGGACACACATAATATACATGGGCAGAAAGCAACCATTAGGGCTGGCCGAAAGAGGGAAAGAGGGAGAGCGGAAAAAGTGTTGCAGTGTAATGACTAGGTGGACACCTGGAGCCAGGTGAGATACACCTGGTTTCATTGGCCTGGGCACGCTCCAGGGGACTCATTACACAGTGTGTGTGCGCATCTGTCCACCACTGGATACATCAATTACACACACACGCACACGACTCCACTTTAAGGAGCCATACACCAGGCGATAGATTCCTATCCAGAAGGGAGCCCACCCCCCGCAGCTCCTGATGTTGCTAAGGCAACAGGAAAACAAACACTGAACGATGCCGACCCCTTGTAGTAAGGTAAAGTTTGCTCTCCTGCCTTTCTTCTCCTCTCTTCGTCTGTCATTCAATAGAGCAGTGAGCAGTATGCAGCTGTCATTAATGACAAAGGGCAGGCACGCAGGAGACATGCTGATATATCGAGGTATGTTTGCGTAGTCAGCAGAATACCGGCCGTTGTGGCAATGTGAAGTTTGTCCACGCACAGGCAACATGAAAAGAGACATACTGATCTGTTCCTCCGGTCTACTGTAGGTCAGGCACTTTTTACAGAGTTTCACCAAGACAGCATGCTAGCTGTAAACAAGCCTGGCTATAAATATAACTGCTAATTCACTGTCAGGCCCCCTCTTTATGGCGCACTCCCTCTTTCTCAAAACTATCTTTACTTATTCATACTTGCCCTGCAGATATTGTGATGCCTACATAACCATGGCAACTCACAACACTGCCATACTCAGCTGTGTAAGGTGTGTGTGATCGTGGGGGTTTGTTAATCCTCTGTGGAATACCCCTTTAAAAAGCAGCCCATATGTGATTCATAAGCAAACACCCCGTACAAACTACACAGGGTACCTCAGAACACAGTGGCTTCTCTAACCACTGGCTTGCCTTTCATTTTTCCTCAAGCACTTGACATCATCTTCAATTTATAACCAATATTTTTATTTTCTGCCGAGCATCTGTCATGTATTTTTGTAAGCTGCCTTTTCCCCTACTGAAATAAAGAAAAGAAAACAGGCACTTGAAAGAGTGGCGAGGTTAAGTTGTGCAGAAGCATCATATATCAACTTCCAATTCTTCAGCTTGTTCCCCGCACTCCCCACGGAGCCTCGCAGTTCCCCCTGCCTCTTTTCACTTTGAAGATTATTTATATTTCTTTTCTTAACAGGCTTCATTTTGTCCAAGTCAAATTTCACTTTTTCTTTCTCTCTGCCTCTGGTTCAAGTGGCACACAACTCTCTCAAGTTGGAACCAAATGCACATACTTTAAAAGTTCTTAAGATGCCTTATTTAAAAAAAAAAAAGTTAAATAAAATAAAACAAAGGTACTGAGTGTGCTATTTTTTTATAGCTTCACTATTTTTGTGTCTGCAGATAATTAAACCATTATCAAATACAAGTAAATCAGTCCCCTGTGAAGGATCTAAAGGCTTACTAACACGCGTGCGCTAAGTGAGTGCACAATATTCTGGGTCAGCATTTCACCACAGAGACAAAGAGGGAGAGCGGGATGCAGGTGCTCCCGTCTCCAGTGGTGTTATTTACAGCTACACAGTGATCTGGCCCTGCTCCCCGCTATGAACCCTGTCTGTTGTCGAAGAATGTTGCAGGTGCTGTGTCTGGGTGAGCTCTTGAATCACAACGCTCTATGCTTTGCCCTCTGAAACAGAGACACACGGAATGACACAGGGAGATAGATGGAGAAACAGACAGAGAGGAAGCAGAGGTCTGCCTCCATCTGTGCGACAACATGTGACCGTCCCGTCCTGTTAGTTCTTTCTCTAATTGACCCTGTGGACAGCGATGAGGGAGGACAGAAGGGGGTCAGCGTCCCTCCCCATTTATCACCGGCCTTGACCAGGCAGGCTTTGAAATTTCAGGGATTCTTTCAATGGTGTAGCTGAACTGCAGTCCGGTGCAGAGACCTTACACATGGCTATAAAAAAAAAGACAAAGACTATGCACTGCCTTCTCTGCTCAGAGGGGTCAGGGCAGACATGCAGGGGTCACGTGAAATTACTGGATTTTTGTTATTATTATCCCAGGGAGGAAATTCTTGCTGGCCTCATAGGGAGGGGGGTGGGGTCATGGTTATAGGTGAGTCAGTAGTGCGGCAGGATCAGAAAATAACTCTCTGCTAGACAACGGTTATTTTGATTCTGAAAGAGAAACATATTTGGTGGAAGAGGAAAGGACGCGGGGAAGAGTCTGCTCTGGACTCAATGGGATTTTTCCACTGGCAGATTATTATTTGTAGAGAAACTCAAAAGACATTTTTAACAATTGCTTTTACTACGTAAATAACAAACAAACAAACAAATAAAAGACATTCAATGTCGAGGGAGCACATTTCACAGTTGCATGTGAGCAGACGGGTTTGATCATAGACTGAAATGTTAGATTTGAAAAACACCATGTGGCCGGACTGTCACTTTAGCAGGGTCGGCATTTTGGAGAATTACTCAACGATGAACCCACTGAACTCACTGTGTACAGTAGTGCTATTGAAAACTCTTCAACTAAAGCCCTTTTAAAGAGATGTGGCATCTTATCACGAAACCTATTTCCATAAGGGACAAATTAGGCAAGAAATATACAGCTTGACTGCTGCACTGTCACTGCCAAAAATAAGAGACCAAGGTACACAGAGAGAGTAGAAAATGACCTTCTATGACACTGCCAAGATCACCTAACAAGACTGGAAGAGAAACAGCTGGTGCACACAGATCAGGGGGGAAAATCAAGACATGGCAACCAACGAGGACAGAGAAAACCTGGCAAACCTGTCATCAAAACAAGTCTGACTTTAATGTTTTAATATTTTAAACAGAAACTCTTTCCCCTTTCACAGTAAACTTCAGATGTGCTACTCCAATGAAACTACTCAGTTAACAACAGTAGAAGGATGTGGTTGTACTGGGTGTGAATGAGGTAGATACTGGCAAACAACAGTCATTCCCAGGCAAATAAGTTAAAAACAGATCAACCATAACCAAACCCAAGCTTCCCTCTGCTGACCTGTTGATATTCCTGGCAGACGTCGGGCTGGGCCAGTGTGTTGGCGATCTGTTCGAGATGTGGTTTAAGGAGGGGTTTGGAGCAGCCACCCAACATCGCAGCAAGCACCATGAGGGGGGCCCAGGGATGGGAGGAAGAGTAGGGGGTTGTCACATGATCCAGCAGCAGCTTGAGGAAGACGGCTGGAGGGACAAAGGTCCCCAACAGTTTAGCAGCTGCCAGGCACTAGATGTAGGTAAAGAGAGAGAGAGGAAGACAGTGAAAAGAGACATGAGGGAATGTAAAGGAGAGCAAGAACAACAGGAAATCCACTTTTAATCTGCCACACATCAAAGATCCGCACGATCCTCCTAACGTAAACAGGTGCATCCCAAGTCCTTGAGCCCCGCTTGGTCCAGTCTAAATTGAGAACTAGAAATGCTGACTCAAAGCTCAACAGATGTATCCTGAAATCATCCCATCTGGTAATAATTTAAATATCACTAAGCAATTCTACTGTGTGTGCAGAGGTCAAGAATTACTAAATGCCACATTTGACCATCCACAAAAAGGAAGGAAATACAGCATCATGTATAACATCCTGCTAATATGATGGCTGGGACTTACTTATTCCCAGTACACACAGATTTTCTTAATTGAAACATTAAATTAGGTCTTTCTTACTGTGCACCATTCACACCAATTTTGTTAAAACTGAAAGTCACAGACCCCACCCTCTCCTCAAACTTACATTGCTGACTACATCCCTCTCTGTGTCAGTGCAGGCCCGGTAGAGAGTGGCCAGCAGAGGCTGCATATGCTGGGTGCTGTGGTCCTCGGCGTGGAGCAGCAGCACAGAAAGCAGCTGAGATGTCCTGACCCGCGTGGGGACCAGCCAGTCGGTTACATCGTGGGTGATGGCTGGCACCAGCCTTCCCAGGTTTCTCATCACCAACTCTCTGCAGCCCAGCCCTGGACGCTCCACTGGAGGAAAAAATTACGAATATTCACCTTTGCATAGATTTCAGTTTGTGATGTTCGGAACATTTGCTATTTATCTAACTTTCTTTTTTAAGAACAAATTTTCTCTCTCTGTGTGGTTTATTTTTTTAAGAACATATTGGAAACAGCAATTCCAGAACAATAAATATCACTGATTCACAGGTTTTCAAATATATGTTGACTGTGAAGCAACTCGTCACATTTTCTATTTGTAAGTTCTTATGATTAAGATTTCCCCACAAGAGACTTGTCAGAGCAAGTGAAACGCATTCTCAAATCCTGCACCCCCCCCCCTCCCTCTCTCACTTTCTTTCTTTCTCTGTCTCACCTTATTCTTCTTCTCCTAAAAGGCACACTAATGAGAGAGGAAGAGGTGACTAAAGGAAGACAGAGATAAATCAGAGAAACACACCAGGACAAGACAAAACAAGCCCCTTTCTGGTCGTCTCTCACTGTCTGACAGTGACCTCTTCACACTGGGAGGCCCAGCAGATTTATGACAGCAAGAAAGAGAAAGACAAAGAGGGAGTGGGAGCCTCTTCCTTTCCTTTCCTTTCCTTTCCTTTCCTTTCCTTTCCTTTCCTTTCCTGTCCTCAGGCACAGTCTGTATTCATCCACATTGTCACATGTGTAGCTGTGGGACACTTATATTAGCTTTAACCAAAATGCAGGGCCCAAAAAACTCTACCCTTGACACATATACACTTAGCCTGGCCTCACAGGCAAGCCGTGGTCACCATGTTCAGGTTCACACTCATTCCCAGCCCCAAGGCAGACACTTATCTTTCCAAGCCAGTGCCTGCCCTGAAAACTACGCTGTCATACAAAGCATCATATTTTACTGTATATAATAACCTTGGACAGATGTAATAAAAAGAGATGATTTAATGCAGCAAGGTGTGGGTGATTACATTTACATTCAAAATTTACATTTGCATTTAACTGGTGTGACAGGTATTTCATTATGCATGGGGAGAGACCAGTGAAGCCAATGCACCTGGAAACTGCTCTGTTGTAACATTGGAATACAAACACCATTCCAACCTTAGATTTCACTTTAATCAATCCTTCTACTCAAACAGCCAAAAAGATCATCTTAAAGGATGTAAGAAAGTCTGGGTTTATCGGCTGAGTTTAAGCTGAATCCAAAGGATTTTCCTACTCAGGTTATTTCACCAGGTAAACACCAGGTCTGGCTAGACAGTCTAGGCCTTCCATTATACATTCTTGACTTACAGTTTTTTCCTCACTGCTGTGGATGACAACAATGGATGCTAACAAGAGCTATAGGTGGCAGGAGTTATAATGCTCCCGCATCATCCTGCACTCTCTAACCTCTTCTACAGGGATGTATCTGTGTGTGTTCTTAACAGTAACAAACAGCCCACGTCTTTGTAGAATTTGTGTATGGCGCTCAGGTTAGGAAGTTACTTTTTAAAGCAAGTCTGCTTCAAACTTGCTGTTTAAATGCTTTCAAACCTCACAATGAGTACAGTGGTTCTTCTCTTTAAACCTATGGGATAGTTATTTGTATTTTAAACAACACACAAGTGGGATGATACCAGGGCACATTTCTTAAGGGTGAGTAGAGTAGTTCACATAAACATATATTACCCTACAGTACTGGTTGATTTCCCTTTAAGCCTTATTCATACCTTAAAACACAAGAGCAATATGCTACTGAAGAAACATGAGACTACTTTTATGGCCTTGAGTTTACATAAGAATGAAAACTGAATAGCACAGCTGTCTGATACCGTCTCTCCACACACGGAATAGAGTTTGATTGCTCTGATTCCAGCAACTCACACAGTATATTAATAAGACCTCTCTCTGTAACTGACCTAGTTTAAAGTGTGAGAGCCAGATCAAATAACTGGGGAGGATAAGCCAAAAGACAGAGAATAAATAAATCATACCCTTATGGTAAGTATTTGTAGATCAAGATATAACAAGAACTCTTAGAACTATATATGAATGAATAGGCACATGTAAAATCTAAGTAAGTGCAAGTGTTGATTGTAAGAGTTCTTCATCATCCACTCTGTTAAACTTGGATTCTATCCATCTCCCTAACAAATTATCAATCTGTTTGCCTATGTAAATTAAAAATGACAGAGAGCAGGGAAGAAGCTGCCGCTTTGCCAGCTGTGACTGACCTCCTGGTGGGTAGAAAGGAGGTGGGGTGAGGAGGAAGTCCATCTTGTCCTTGATGTCGTCTTCATTCTCCTTCTCCCACTGTGTGCCTATCTGTCTCCATAAATCAGCTGCTAGAAGTCTGCAGAAGGGGAGTGAAAACATATGTTATAGATATGTTATAGATATTTAGATGCTCAAACTCCCTCTGACCTTAAACTGAAGACTATTATATGACATATTTGTGTGGCATATCATATTATAACGTAAAGGGGGATGTATGACAGTGTCCAGTAAATTACCTTATTTCTGGGATCTCATCATTGATGCTGCTCAGCAGGATTGGGATGAGTTTGTGGAAGTAAGAGTATCTGTCTCTCATGTGAAGTAGCCAATCGCCAACAACTGCAGTCACAGCTTTTCTCACCTGGACAACAAAAAAGAAAGAGACAGCGAGAGCAAAAATTTATCACATGCATGCTTCATTGAAGAAGTGGACTATTGGTTTATTTAATCCCAAAATGGCAAGCTTTGATGGTGAAGATGAGCGTGAGCCCTGGAGGCGAATAACTTAGCAAGCAGCACATGTAAGGAGCACATAGTAGGAGTTCTAACAGTGGATTGTTTGCAAAAACTGAACCTGTGGCGAGTCGTCGAACAGTCTCTGTGCCAGGTGAGAGAGTACGTCATCCACGTTTTTCCCAGTGCCATGCTGAATGACTGCCCCAGTGGCTTCGATGACAGACACTCGTACTCGGGAGTGCTGATGAGCAATCGTCTGCATGAGAGGCTTGACCAGACTCTCAGCCTGCATGTGAAAGTGCTCTGAGGAGAAAGTGGTGAAATGCACTTCAGTCCATTCATTTCAGTTGCCGTAGATCTGATTGAAACATTTATATATTATAAATACTTTAATAATTTTGGTTATCATAACATTACAATGTAGCTTAGTTATTTTTATTTCAAAGGCTAAATTACAGTCCTGTACTGATTACACAGAATTTTTGACTGACAAGAGTGTCCATCCTCTGACACTAACTGAATGAAATTAAGAATTAATTTGAGATGACGTAGGTTTGTGAATTCATCTGACTGTCTATGTTGTCCAAAAAGAATAATTAGGGATAACTAGGCCTTTTTAATCAGGGCTCCGCAGCTTTGGAACCACCTGCTGAAGTATCTCAGGCAAGCCAAATAAAAAAGGGTGTTAGATGATCATTAATGATGAATTAATTGATTAATCAATTAATAGAAAATGTATAGACTAAAACCGGGATTTTAGTCCATCTAACAGGGTGCAAGACATTCCTAATTTTTACTTGTGAATTACTGAAAAATTTCTTCAGGCATATGAAAATGATTCATATAAGGCAAAATGATTAACCTGATGTAAATCATACAGACATCTTCAACTGGTTTCAACGCGGCTGGCGTTGGTTGTTGTTGATCTATGTGTTAAGGGTCAAAAAAGTCCAATAGGTTGAGAACCCCCAGACTGAGCGACTGAGAAAGTAATGTAAAGTAATAGAGAATACATACATTTTTTGCGTTAAAAAGTAATGGGAAGGCTGTGGATACTAATAATAACCCGAATTCAAGTATTTTAGCCACTCAGTGTCTGGGTGCCTCGAAACCATGGCAACAGACTTTCTCAACAACAAAAAGCGCTTCACGAACCTGGCACACACTTCGCGAACTTTAATGTGCATTTGCAGCTTTCTCTTTTGACATCCGGGAAAGGGTCGACGATGGTTCTCTGCAGTATGTTGATCATTTCGTTCAGATATGGCGCTAAATGCTTCCCGCACACCTCCACTGTCAGAGTCAACATCTCCACGGCCGACAGCCGAAGCTCCTCCGCCGGCTCCAGGATCTCTTTCTCCCCGAGCCTCTGAGCCAGGCACGGCATGAGATAAGGCAGCGACTCCTCCGGTTTGGGGACACAACGAATAAACTCGCTTATCACCGCTATTGTGGTTTCTCTGCATCTTTCCATCGGATCTGTCAGACATTTGAGGAGAGGCTTGAGTAGGGCAGAGAAAACCTCCTGTAAGACGCTACTGGAAAGTCCTTTATCTACAGTCTCCCTCTTGATTTGCTCAAGAGCCCTCTTTCTTGTCGCCTTGTTGTCTTCGTTCAGACAGTTTAAATGTCGGGCAAGCCCTCTCAAAACTTCAGAGGCAGCATGCTCGTCCCCGGCCGCCATCGCTGCCATCTTGACTGTCGTTATGGCAACCAGCAGCTGCACGACAAACAAATGCCTGCTTTACGATAGCTTCCGATTCAAAAACTCAATCTTTATTAGCATTCACAAACGCAACCTTTATTCTTGTATGAAGTCTAAATTTACTTATATCCTCTGATTTATGTCTGTGTTTTTATTTGATCGCTCCCGGATATTTGATCATTCCTACGTATTATTCAAATAATCCCATAATTTAATCTCTCGGTAAAGCATTTTGGTCAATGTTTGTTGCTTTTGACTGTGTTCTATAAATAAATGTCACCACACAAAATATACAAAATCCATAGTTTCATATAACGCCAAATTTCCTATTTTGAATTAAAATAACAGCTATTATTATGTTAAAACTGAGTGTGAAATACACACAATTGTAGGATTATTAAGGTGATTTCTCATAAAGCAGCTTTTTATCCACTTGGCAACAGCCCCATTCCCCCAGTTCAAAGTTTACAGTGAGGCAGGTTGTTTGTATTTGACTGAATGCATTAAAAATAATTTGTAATATAATTTTTGCTGAAATGAAAGCCCTTTTGAGGCAGATCCTGTATAACTGGGGGACACTTCTTGTTGCCTAATGGGCAAAAAATCTAGTTTTATAAAATTGTAGGTTTAAGACTGGATATGCTGTTATAGTCTACAGCGAGAGATCTGCCAAACGTTGCCCCACGATACCTGAAATCAATCTACACTCCACTTTTTAGGGTGGATGTTTCCTTTAAAGATTTTTACCTGCAAACCGGCGCGTGCTCTCTGCTGCTGCGGTCGAGGAGATGACAGATTGACGTCATCAGGACTGACGCAGAGCGAGCCGTGGTAGCAGAGAGGCACAGCAGCAGCAGCAGCAGCAGCATCATCCCAGCTAACAAACAGTACCTCACCTATCTCCCACCACCAGCGAGGTGTTTTCTCACTGAGCATCCTCCAAAAATAACGGTAGGGACACCAGCGAGAGCACCGGCTAGATGGTGTTATTATGAACACTAAAAAGCGGTTTAGACCTGGCCCTTGATAGTGTTTACGCCGTGATAGTCGCAGTAATTCCACTTCGTTGTGGTTTGGTTGTCATTGTGAGGTTAGCAAAGCTAGCTGGGTTAGCTATATATTGAATGCAACTGAACAGGTGCTCAGTTTCATCACTAGCTCCACAGTGTACATGGCAAAATTGCTATACGCGGGCACTGCTTTGCTATTTGCTGTGAAGCAACTGCACTCGGTAGATGTCATGCCCTAAAGTGATAACTGATTGTGATTTATTATGCAGCAAGAACCATACCGTAGATGCGATTTCCCATTGAGGAAGTGATACAGGGTAGTTGACAATTAGCTGCACCTACTCATCTTCCTGGCTTGTTATGTGACATACTGCTATGGTATTTGACATAACTGTAGCCAAGCTTTTGTCAGTTGTCATACACTAACATTATTTGCTTTGCTTCCACATGCTGAAGTGTTTACTCTCACAAATAACATTAAAGCACCAGTTTAGGAAACGTTCATGAACAATCTTCAACCACAAAGAAACATACAACTGCATAACTTGTCATGCATTAGGAGTTCATTGTTTAAGCATGAAGTGTACACCTTAGTAAATGTACGTTATTGAATACTGTTTATGCCATTTTTAGTTTAATCATAACCCTCTTTTCACCTGCCCACAATCAAAGACACAGGTAAAAGGTTTGCGCATTCTCAGAGACAATTTTACTATTAACATGTCAACCACACAAGAGTGGGTGGTAAGAATAAAAGTCTCTATCTTCACATATGTAACTGTATATTGCGATATATTGATATATATTGTAATTACTGGATTGCAGCATTACCCACAGAGGTGTAATACACTCAGAGATATTACATTGGTAGCTACCTGGATATAAACAGTATGGCAAAATCTCACAGTTTACGTTGTCCCATGGTATATATTGTTATATTGCTCAACCCAACAGGCAATATACAAACTTTATTATAGGTTTTTACAAGTTATCTGTCTTCAACTAAGAAAGGTAACATATACCTGCAACAATCACCTTTATCATACACTGTCATGTCTTGTTTAGGGTTTTACCAACTGACAACAGTTCATTGCATGCGGCCATTCACAGGAAACTTAGGCAACAGGGTGTAAAATGTTCAGTTACCTTATTCCCACGATCCATTGCACTTCCATTCTCTCCCATTCTCCCTGCTTATCATACTGTGTGGGCTCCCCATTTCGCCCGTCCCTTCTATTTTGTGTTTCCAACCCTTGTTCCCTGCTACCCTGTTCTCTGTTCTGCTTTCCCTCCCCTCCTCTCATGGTCCACCCTGTTTTCTCCCACTGCCACAGAGATAAAAGATAAGATGGCCACCTCCTCCTCCACTCTGGAAGAAGACGAGAGTTTGAAGGGCTGTGAAATTTTTGTGCAGAAGCACAACATCCAGCAGATCCTCAAAGAGTGCATTGTGAACCTCTGCATCGCTAAGCCTGAGCGTCCTATGAAGTTCCTGCGGGAGCATTTTGAAAAACTGGAGAAGGTTGGTGATAACAAAGTTCTGTGTTTATATGAGTTAGGACTCTATGTCTGTGTATAATGTGGGGTTCTATGTAGCCTGATTTTTTGTGGTGAGCTTGAAGTTGTTAGTTGCCATGCACTTTTTGACCTGAGTATATGTGGCAAATGTTCATTGCAGTGTGTGCCAAGTAGTGATTTCTTGTCAGATTTCTCAGATTTTAATATTTTCTCACCATACAGTTATAATAAGAGTTAGACGATGTTAATATTGACTCATTTATTAGGTGGAATGCTCTTTTAATATTAAGGATACTTGTGTGTGTGAAAATACAAATTTAATCGAGTGCGCTGGTATTTCACGTGTACCAATTTATTTGATACATTTTATCTGCTCAACTGATGTTTGTGACACCATCACATATGAGCAGACAAAGAACATCCCAGCCAGCCACTAACAAAAAACAGACTGTGCTCAAACTGTTATAACAGAGCTTTCATTTTTCATCCTATAATGGGAGAATCCATTAGGGAATGTGAGAGGAGCACCCATAAAAGGGCAGTGTCCTGTTTGCAGGCTGAGGGAAGAGACTGTTTGTATCTGCCTGTCTCTCTATCTGCCTGTCTGTCTGTCTTTCTGTAAGAAGAGAGACAAAAGACAAGACACATTCATTAAAACTAACAGCTACAAAGGGGAGAGTAGGCTTTCGTGAACAGAGGGAAAAGAAATATCATAACTAGAAAACAGGTTAAAACAGGGGCAACCTCTGTAGCACATTCCCCGTGGCCCAGAAACAACATGACTGCTCAGCCTGTAAATGTGTGTGTATGTGTCTCTTTTCAGCGACTGTGTTGACTCCAGCGTGCACCTTCATATAGTGGCAAGATGTTTTCATGTGTTTAGGAGGCACACTATACTGTCGGTTTTAAGAAATTCACAAACTTTGCCAAGATTGTCAGTTTTTGTCTGCCTTCTATGAAGTATCATAGGGTTTACACTTTTTATTAGTTACACCAAGCTAAAACTATATGCAATAAATTCGACCTTCATTAAGGTTATAATGTTCAATCTGTGGTGAAGTTGACGGTGATTCAACTTCATGGTGCTGTTAAATTGTATTGCGTTAAAAAGACAGGTGTTTCTATTATTTTGTCCACCCCATCAATTGTTTTATTTATAACAGAAACACCGTCTGTATAATGCAAAACAGTTCAACAGCACCTCAAACTATATCCTCCAATGTGATCATACAGTCGAATCAGCATCTCTTTTAGACAGTTTCAATGAAATCTGAACTTTATGACCTTCATGAAGAGAGGATTCATTGCAGGACTGTTGTATAAGACTGCATGATTTTTAGGTGTACCTAATAAACAGACAACTGAGTTTACAGATAAATTGTTATTGTGCCTAAAATGCAAGTTAACCTTAAAACAGGCTGTCTCAGGATTGAGCCTAAAAGGATGTTCTTTTCCGATGCTTGGCTTTGATCAAGCAGAGATGCAGATGGATAGTTCGCTCATGAGTGGATCACAAGATTTGTTTGGTTGAACAATGGGCTCTAGTCTTAGACTACCGTTACAAATAGATCATAAAGGTGTATGAGGTGGCGCTGTAGGCTGTTGATGTTGTTGTTGATGAGAATTTAAGCCTTGGAAAGAAGTCTCCAACAAGAAAAGTGATTGTGAAGAAACATCAGATATAGGACGACTCAAGCTCACCATCCCGATGCCTTGAGGAGGGTCTCCATCCTTGCTGCAGTGGTTTGTGTGTGTGTGTGTACGTGTGGTAGCATGTGAGAGTCATCTGATTTGATCAGTTTTTAGAGTGACAAATTTTCCGCAACTTTTGTTTTTCTCAGAAATCAAAGGTTTCATTATTTTATTACTTTACCTGCATGTTCAAGTGAATTACATTTATTAATTTGTTTATTCAGTAACCTGTCATTTATTTATCCAGGAAGACCAATCACATGTTTATTTACAACAATTTGCACCTGCAATATATCAAGCCTAGGTTTCAGGAGAGAATGCACCAGAAGTTTTAAGGTCAAGATCAGAGTGTTGTTTTTTTTCTTGTGTGTCCTGCACTTGATTACGTGTATGCAACTCAGCGATCTCACAGAGCTCTGTGGTCAAGGAGACCGTGTTGAATCAAGCACAGCATTGATGGTGGAGCTGCTGCTGTTAGTTCGGACTGTAATGCTGCATAGTCAGAGAGGCAGCATGAATACTAATGGATGTGATAGAGCTCGGCAGAAGCAATACAGTAGCAAGTTGCGAGGGATTCATAATGTAAAATGACATACACTGCACACTTCCCTGTCTTGTATCCCATCTTGGTAATAAATGAGCCTCAAAGATTTTCTTTTGTGATCAACACCTTCTTGTTAAGAAAGTGTGTTGTTTGCAAAATAGGGTTAAATATTTCATGAATGTGCTCATGTTCCAGTACAGTGATGTAATGTGCTTACATCCTTATAGAGAACAGGGTATGAAAAGTCAATTTATATCCGAGGACTTATTACGTTGTCGATATAGCTAGCACAGATAAATAGAGTATCGTACACATGAGCTTCTATATTCCTGAAACTGGGCTCTGGTGTCCAAAGGCACCTGTTCAATCTTTATAAGTGGCTGGGGAAGGATAAATACATTGTTATTGGTGAAATATAGTCTTGCATGTGACATTCTTCACTCTCTGCAATGCATAGCCATCACACCCTTTGCAATAAGTTGATTTATGTAAGCTGTTGTGGACAGTCTTGTTGCTTATGCTGCAACAGCTACATTACAAGTATCATAGTATCATCACTGCTGCTTCTTACATATAGCATTTAATCAGACCCATTTCCTCATGTGTATCCACCTGTAGACTCTTATTATAGTGGGTTGGTGGAGGTGGAAATGTTTTTGTTGTTTTTGTCACTCCTCAATCATCTGCTGCAGCAAACATCAGCGATTGCCATTATAAACAATAATTTAACTAACAGTTCCACATAACATGTCTGTTTACATGACTGGAAATATTATTTTGATTATCTAGAGGAAATGGGGTTTGCTTCAAGACAAAGTGCACCAATATCAAGAGGACACATATATCGAGGACACCTCCTACACAAGTAATGTTTTCACTATATCAACTTTGAATATTTTAAGAATTGTTCTACCACTTAATTCATGCCATTTTAGGCTCCCATCTTGCACTTACACTATAAATGTGTGTTTATACATGCACATAATGGCACTATAATAATATGTTCTTATTGCTACTTGTGCTCCTGTCTGTGGGTCAAAGTTCTGATCACAACAGCAACTTTTAAGGCAGTCATGTTGTTGCATGGTGTTCAGTGAAATCACTTGGTGTATATTTACTTGGAATAAAAAGCTCCAGGCTTTCAGCCCTTTTAGGCCCACAGTTGCCCAACACTATTCTAGTCGAGCCATCCAAATCTGTTCTTGTGTTGTGAGGTCAGTCATTTGTAAAATTGAAACAGGCCATTTATGTTTTTGTGGTGTCCCAGTTATTTAAGGAGCTTATTGTGCTCCTTTCCCCCTGCACAGGGTAACTTTGAGGACAGTATTTGGTTCAACAAGCTATGTCCATTTAATCTGGATTTAGGACTGCAGACTGCAGATCTTATTTTCTGAATTTCCTATTGTTGGTCTCAAGCTTTATCAGTGTTCTATTGCTCAAAGTATTCATCTTAATCTCTTAAAATATTTTTTTTTCTCAGATCAAAATACATAAGCTGATTTTTAAATGCAGAACAACATCCTGAATTTCAAGAATTCAAATAGAACAGGTCGTCAGATCTTGTCCCTGACTCTGGCAGTCTTTCAGAGGAGGCATCTTTTGCTCTCAAAACAAAGAGAAGAAAAAAATGCACCTTTGTCATCACATTTCTCCTGTACTTCACCCTCCATGTTTGTGTGTGTGTTTCTCTGTCGTCTCTCACAGCCATTTTCGTCAGCACTCGTCGCCCACTAGAGGCAGTAACCAAGGCAACAGTAGAGGATTGTTAGACTGAAGTCTATCCTGTGTTCAGTCAGCCCCTTTATTCACAAAGTTTATTCCTCCTGTCCTTTCATATGTTCAGCTTTTTCTGTGTGCCAGTTAGATCATCAGGGTAGTCTTTCTAACCTCATTTCATATCTGCACAGGATCCATTTCATACAGCTCTCACAATCTTATCTGGAAAATCTCTTTTCTCTGTCTCAGTTCCTCCATCGTCTGCATTCACAGTTCTTTGATATCTTTTTTTTTTTTACTGTCTTCCTTCCTTTTCTTTCTTTCTTTCTTTCTTTCTTGTGTCTCTCGCCTACACACACACACACACACACACACACACACACACACACATACACACAGACACAAGCACAAGCTCACTAAATCATCAGTCTGACTAGTTTGTTTTTAACTTTTGTTTTGATATAATAATATGTCTCTGGTCCCCAGCCGGTGTTGTGAATGGGAAAATAACAGGCGTCTCGCTCCCTTTCATCCTGCCTATTTATGCATGGTAATGACGCCTTTGATCTCTACAACAGTAGCTTCAGATGGGTGTTCTCATCTCTGTATCTCTATCAGCTCAGCTCAGTGTGTAATTGCTGAGAAGTGAACCTTCATTTTCGGCACACTACACTGTAAAAAGGCAACATTCATGTGACACCTTAGCCTTAGTTTTTAAAGTATTCCAACATAGCTATCTTTTAAAAGATGTTCTCTACTTGTTAATATGTATTATTAACTTTAAATTGGCTACATAGATAGATGTTTACCTTACAGTGGAATATCTGTAATTAGGCAGTAAGTTTCTTGTTAATACAAAAGCTTATTGTAGGAGATTATAGCAAACGGATGGCTTTGAAACAGTGGTTAGAATGAATTTCTAATACACAGTGCTCATTGTTGCAGTCCCTTTTTACCACAATCATGTGCGTAATAAGTGAACATTCCTGCAGAAGGCTATTTTAGATGGTAAAATGAATGTGGCACTAATCCAGAAATGGTGACTGGATCTT